CGCTGCACAATCACCTGACCCAGCTCGCTCTCCCACCACTGGAACACAGCGGTAGTGGGTGAGCAGGGATCGGGGAAAGGGTATTAGGATGGTGCGCTGCACAATCACCTGACCCAGCTCGCTCTCCCAACACTGGAACACGGCGGTAGTGGGTGAGCAGGGATCGGGGAAAGGGTATTAGGATGGTGCGCTGCACAATCACCTGACCCAGCTCGCTCTCCCAACACTGGAACACAGCGGTAGTGGGTGAGCAGGGATCGGGGAAAGGGTATTAGGATGGTACGCTGCACAATCACCTGGCCCAGCTCGCTCTCCCAACACTGGAACACAGCGGTAGTGGGTGAGCAGGGATCGGGGAAAGGGTATTAGGATGGTGCGCTGCACAATCACCTGACCCAGCTCGCTCTCCCAACACTGGAACACAGCGGTAGTGGGTGAGCAGGGATCGGGGAAAGGGTATTAGGATGGTGCGCTGCACAATCACCTGACCCAGCTCGCTCTCCCAACACTGGAACACAGCGGTAGTGGGTGAGCAGGGATCGGGGAAAGGGTATTAGGATGGTGCGCTGCACAATCACCTGACCCAGCTCGCTCTCCCAACACTGGAACACAGCGGTAGTGGGTGAGCAGGGATCGGGGAAAGGGTATTAGGATGGTGCGCTGCACAATCACCTGACCCAGCTCGCTCTCCCAGCACTGGAACACAGCGGTAGTGGGTGAGCAGGGATCGGGGAAAGGGTATTAGGATGGTGCGCTGCACAATCACCTGGCCCAGCTCGCTCTCCCAACACTGGAACACAGCGGTAGTGGGTGAGCAGGGATCGGGGAAAGGGTATTAGGATGGTGCGCTGCACAATCACCTGACCCAGCTCGCTCTCCCAACACTGGAACACAGCGGTAGTGGGTGAGCAGGGATCGGGGAAAGGGTATTAGGATGGTGCGCTGCACAATCACCTGGCCCAGCTCGCTCTCCCAACACTGGAACACGGCGGTAGTGGGTGAGCAGGGATCGGGGAAAGGGTATTAGGATGGTGCGCTGCACAATCACCTGACCCAGCTCGCTCTCCCAGCACTGGAACACGGCGGTAGTGGGTGAGCAGGGATCGGGGAAAGGGTATTAGGATGGTGCGCTGCACAATCACCTGACCCAGCTCGCTCTCCCAGCACTGGAACACAGCGGTAGTGGGTGAGCAGGGATCGGGGAAAGGGTATTAGGATGGTGCGCTGCACAATCACCTGGCCCAGCTCGCTCTCCCAACACTGGAACACGGCGGTAGTGGGTGAGCGGGGATCGGGGAAAGGGTATTAGGATGGTACGCTGCACAATCACCTGACCCAGCTCGCTCTCCCAGCACTGGAACACGGCGGTAGTGGGTGAGCAGGGATCGGGGAAAGGGTATTAGGATGGTGCGCTGCACAATCACCTGACCCAGCTCGCTCTCCCAACACTGGAACACAGCGGTAGTGGGTGAGCAGGGATCGGGGAAAGGGTATTAGGATGGTGCGCTGCACAATCACCTGGCCCAGCTCGCTCTCCCAACACTGGAACACAGCGGTAGTGGGTGAGCAGGGATCGGGGAAAGGGTATTAGGATGGTGCGCTGCACAATCACCTGACCCAGCTCGCTCTCCCAGCACTGGAACACAGCGGTAGTGGGTGAGCAGGGATCGGGGAAAGGGTATTAGGATGGTACGCTGCACAATCACCTGACCCAGCTCGCTCTCCCAACACTGGAACACAGCGGTAGTGGGTGAGCAGGGATCGGGGAAAGGGTATTAGGATGGTACGCTGCACAATCACCTGACCCAGCTCGCTCTCCCAACACTGGAACACAGCGGTAGTGGGTGAGCAGGGATCGGGGAAAGGGTATTAGGATGGTGCGCTGCACAATCACCTGACCCAGCTCGCTCTCCCAACACTGGAACACAGCGGTAGTGGGTGAGCGGGGTCAGGGGAAAGGGTATTAGGATGGTGCGCTGCACAATCACCTGGCCCAGCTCGCTCTCCCAACACTGGAACACAGCGGTAGTGGGTGAGCAGGGATCGGGGAAAGGGTATTAGGATGGTGCGCTGCACAATCACCTGACCCAGCTCGCTCTCCCAACACTGGAACACAGCGGTAGTGGGTGAGCAGGGATCGGGGAAAGGGTATTAGGATGGTGCGCTGCACAATCACCTGACCCAGCTCGCTCTCCCAGCACTGGAACACAGCGGTAGTGGGTGAGCAGGGATCGGGGAAAGGGTATTAGGATGGTACGCTGCACAATCACCTGACCCAGCTCGCTCTCCCAACACTGGAACACAGCGGTAGTGGGTGAGCAGGGATCGGGGAAAGGGTATTAGGATGGTGCGCTGCACAATCACCTGGCCCAGCTCGCTCTCCCAGCACTGGAACACAGCGGTAGTGGGTGAGCAGGGATCGGGGAAAGGGTATTAGGATGGTGCGCTGCACAATCACCTGACCCAGCTCGCTCTCCCAGCACTGGAACACGGCGGTAGTGGGTGAGCAGGGATCGGGGAAAGGGTATTAGGATGGTGCGCTGCACAATCACCTGACCCAGCTCGCTCTCCCAGCACTGGAACACAGCGGTAGTGGGTGAGCAGGGATCGGGGAAAGGGTATTAGGATGGTGCGCTGCACAATCACCTGACCCAGCTCGCTCTCCCAACACTGGAACACAGCGGTAGTGGGTGAGCAGGGATCGGGGAAAGGGTATTAGGGATGGTGCGCTGCACAATCACCTGACCCAGCTCGCTCTCCCAACACTGGAACACAGCGGTAGTGGGTGAGCAGGGATCGGGGAAAGGGTATTAGGATGGTGCGCTGCACAATCACCTGACCCAGCTCGCTCTCCCAACACTGGAACACAGCGGTAGTGGGTGAGCAGGGATCGGGGAAAGGGTATTAGGATGGTGCGCTGCACAATCACCTGGCCCAGCTCGCTCTCCCAACACTGGAACACAGCGGTAGTGGGTGAGCAGGGATCGGGGAAAGGGTATTAGGATGGTGCGCTGCACAATCACCTGACCCAGCTCGCTCTCCCAACACTGGAACACAGCGGTAGTGGGTGAGCAGGGATCGGGGAAAGGGTATTAGGATGGTGCGCTGCACAATCACCTGGCCCAGCTCGCTCTCCCAACACTGGAACACAGCGGTAGTGGGTGAGCAGGGATCGGGGAAAGGGTATTAGGATGGTGCGCTGCACAATCACCTGACCCAGCTCGCTCTCCCAGCACTGGAACACAGCGGTAGTGGGTGAGCAGGGATCGGGGAAAGGGTATTAGGATGGTACGCTGCACAATCACCTGACCCAGCTCGCTCTCCCAACACTGGAACACAGCGGTAGTGGGTGAGCAGGGATCGGGGAAAGGGTATTAGGATGGTGCGCTGCACAATCACCTGACCCAGCTCGCTCTCCCAGCACTGGAACACAGCGGTAGTGGGTGAGCAGGGATCGGGGAAAGGGTATTAGGATGGTGCGCTGCACAATCACCTGACCCAGCTCGCTCTCCCAACACTGGAACACAGCGGTAACGTGTGAACGGGGTCGACAGGGGAAAAGGGTGTTACAAAGGTAATATCAATATTTGCGAATCAATATCTGCGACTCAATATTTGATTGCCATCTGACAGCATTTGACAAGTCCCGACTAGAGAAAGCACAGAACAGGGCGGCACGCCTTATCACTGACACACCTCGAAGGACGTCTACAGCGGGCCTCCGGAAAGAGCTGGGCTGGACCTCACTAGTAGACAGACGTTGGGCCCACAAAGTGCAACTCTATCACAAGATAGCATTAGATGATCGTGTTCCGGACTTTATAAAAGACATCATACCCAAAACGAGAAACCTAGAGATAGAGAGAAATCTGCGATGCACACAGTCCACTCAACGCACCATCCCAGCAGTCCGCTCAGCTTCCTACGCGAGATCTATCATCCCAACAACAACAAGAATCTGGAACGAACTACCCAACGACTTACGAGCCGAACACAGCAAAAAATTCTTCAAAAAGAGGCTGTATGCATATGCCGGTATAAACATGTCACCTAGCTCCTACCTAAGCACAGGTTCCAAAATTGGAAACCGGCTTCACACCCGACTCAGGCTTAATTCATCAGATCTTAAAGACCACAGATTCAAATTAGGGAAAAGTGATTCAGCCAAGTGCAGATGTGGTGCTGCTACAGAAAACAACGAGCATTTCCTCCTTATCTGTCCACTCTTTCGCACAGAACGAGAAGAATTGTTCGAAAGGTTAACTGAACTTCTCAGTGAGAACTTTCAAAACATTCCTCGGAAAAAGAAAATAGAAACACTGCTAAATGGGCCTTCGCGAGTTATGAAGGTTACCCGCCATGACACCGCCATGGCCGTCCAGAGCTATATACTCAAAACGCGGAGATTTGCCTGCTAGAACTAGGAGCAGCACTTCCATTTCGGAATACAGAGCAATGGCGCGAGTAGGGGCGGGGACAGGCGTTTTGGCCAAGGCAGGGTCGACTTCGCTATGTTAATATTGACATTTTGATTAAGATCAGTAGTGATTAGTAGTGTTCGATTAGAAGTGTTATTGTCTGCTTTCTACGTGTTTCGAGCGGCGTCTCGTTTTAAGCGCCATAGCGCTTCTACGCCAATCGTAATGTTTCGACAAGTGTGAATATGGATGCTCAAATAAATCATCTCTCATCTCATCTCATCTCATCTCAGGTACGATGCACAATCACCCAGTCACTCTCACAGCACTTAAAACAGTAAGTGTAGCTGGTGACCAGGGTCAAGGAGGGAAAAGGGAGAGGCATCACGGTGGGACACTGCACACTTGTACACGATTGGTTAAATGAATTCCAAAGCGTTGACATGGTTCGGTTAGCCTTGAAACTGCACCAGTATGTAGGCCGGCCACCGCATCACATTCACTGTCAACATTACAACGTACGATCAATAAAGCCAACAGGGTTGTGATACAATAGGAGGTGTAGATGACGTGAGTACTCACCTGTTTTCCCGTCTGTTTATCCAGCCAAAAACTGATGGTGACACCCAGGATGACAGCCTCCAGCACGATGGTCCTGCAAACGACATAAAAATTTGAAATACTACACGGTTCAAAAAATATTGCAGTTGAGAACGAACGGGTGTCAAATTATATCACACCCAAATGGCACACACAGGTAGCTATGATGTGCCCAGTGGATCCGATTTAAAACAAAAATATGCTCTCCCCCATTAGCAACCCGCTATCATCTTTATCCGCCTAATATAAGCCAACATCACACCCAGTCCCTCGGATCAGTTTCCTGGCTCCTCCATATTCTCAGTTCTCATCCCCTTTCTCATTCATTTCCTCCCTTCCCCAGTCCCCTCACCTCGCTAGTGTGACGTAGACCTGGTATCTCAGCTGCCCGTAGAGCTCCAGCTGCGCCAGACGGCTGAACGCGAACGGCAGCAGGTACACGAGTACGGTGACCACCACCGCGAACGCCGCCACACGCAGAAAACCGGGGGACACGTTCTGAGGGAAGGCGAAGGGTGCGGTAGTAATTGACGGTATGAGACAGATAGTGGTGATAGATTTGATAGCAACGGCAGCGTAAACAAGGACAGGAAGAATAAACCGCAGCAATCAATAGAAAACGTTCATTTTTTTATCTAATACGTGGCTGAATCTTTCAAACTCGTATCCACACCACATTATAAGGTCGTGAAACACAACTCTAGCATACGTCAATTCATATTCTAACACTGGTCAAGAAGCAGCTCTGAGGGTGAAGATCCAAACACCGCCACGGTAAAGAGTCACCGTGTCACTCTTCCAGCTGACCTGCTGTTGCTGCAGCAGGTACCTGGTGAGGAAGCCGACGCCGACCAGCGTGCCGGCAATCACAGAGTTCACCAGACAGCGGATGGCCCAGACCATCTTACCGGGGCCCGGCGGCTGGCCGTCCTCGGGCACCAGCGAGCGCTGCTTGCGCACCAGGTCGCACGTCATCTCCTGCGGGGTCCGACATGAGACAGAGGTCACGGAAGGTCAGGAAAAAGTCACACGTCATCTCCTGCGGGGTCGGACAGAGGTCACGGAAGGTCAGGAAAAGGTCACACGTCGTCTCCTGCGGGGTTAGACAGAGGCCACGGAGGTCAGGCAAAGGTCACACGTCGTCTCCTGCGGGGTCAGACAGAGGCCACGAAGGTCAGCACAGGACGTCACAAGTCATCTGCGGGGCAACGAAGATCACGGAGGGTCAGAGGTCACGGAGGTCAAGAAAAGGTCACACGTCGTCTCCTGCGGGGTCAAGGAGAGGTCACAGGGGATCATTAACAGGTCACAGTTCATTTCCTGCAGGGTAACACAGAGGTCAAAGAGGTCACGGGGGTCACACAGAGGTCACCAGGGGTGAGCACAAGGTCACACGGCATCTCCTGCAGGGGGCACAGGGGTCAGAGAAAGGTCACAGGGGTAACACCAAGTCATCTGTGGGATCAGACAGGGTCAGCAGCAGGGGACACGTCATCTCCTAGGGCCCAGAAAGGTCACACACCATTAATTATCATGCATTTGGGGTCAAAGACGAGTCCAACGTCATCTCCTAGTGTTACAGAGAGGTCACATTGTGCCGCTAACTCACCCTGAGTTCGTTGTAGATGGCGTTGTGCCGCAGGCTGGCCATCTTCTCCGAGGCGATGCTGAAGTCCCAGCTGCACAGCACCTTGTTGAAGAAGACGTTACGAGACACGCTGGAGGCGTCGATGAAGTTGGCCCGGTACAGGCGGGCCGTGCTGCAAAACGAATTGGAAGAAGGGGGGGGGGTGTTACCTAAGTTATTTGAGGTAAAAATAAACCCTTATTTATCGGCATCGTCGTTTGACGGATAGATATTGGTATTGGGCTCAATTGACACTGGATGGAAGCTCACGCCAAACAATGCGTAAAAACCTGGTATAATTTCTCAGGTACATTTATGTTGCGCAGAAAAACAATGCTGCATGGGATGTCTGAAGTGCGTACGTTTCATATGAGGCCCGTGTAGATATTTGTTGGTAAGTATCCACTCAGCTCGCGAGAATTAGTGAAGTGAGGGTAGTGCCCACTGCCCAATGAGAAAATAAAAGGCCTGCACCAGTATCGGATCAAAATAAAGGTATATAGAACAATGCAAACAAAAGTCATTCATCGCATCTAAATTATAGTCCATTTTATTTCAAAAGGCGCACGGCCCGAAAATCGATTTTAGAATTGTCACGTGCAAAGTGATGGTTTTTACAGAAATCAACTATAGTCTGTTTTTTTTAGCAGCTGCCGGTCGTTTAAAGCGCCTGTCTGATAAGTGCGCGAGGAGCGAAAGCAAAAATGCTATGGAAATCCTGCAAATCCTGAAACTTTGCACATCCGTAACTTTTCTTCGACATGAACTAAAAAGAAGGAAAAGATGTCTTTTTCGAAGCTAAAATGTTCCCCAATCGATCGCCAGACCAAGGAGGTGATTTTCAATGTTTTTGAATTTTGTTCAAAAGAGAAAAGTAACATGGCCTTAACAGGAGAACCATGCGGTTCATATTGTTTGGTTCACCCAAATAAAGTGTATGAGAGAGTGAATCTGATGACTGGTGTCTCCGAGCGGACAGTTCGCAACATCATGAAAGAAAAGGAAGTCGGCGAGTTCAAGTCTCCTATGAAGTCAGCCCCACGGACGGGAGTCGTTCAGAAAATCGACGATTTCGACGTGTGTGCCATAAAACGAGCCATACACAGCATGTACGAAAAGGGTGAGCGAGTTACCCTAAACTCGATCCTGATGAAGGTGACAAGTGAGCTGGACTTAACCTTCAGTCGCAGCTCCCTGCGCAAGATCCTCCTCCAGAACGGCTTCCGTTACAGGAAGGTAAACAACAGGAAGCTGCTGATGGAGCGCCCGTACGTGCGGGCTGCAAGAGCCCGCTACCTCAGAGAAATGCGCAGGATCCGCAATACTGAGCCCGACCGAGCAGTCATCTATCTCGATGAAACGTGGTTCAGTCAGTTTGATTTTGATCAAAAAGGCTGGCTGGATGATCGCGAGTTTTGTGGCAGAAGAAGTGTTGTTGGCAAAGGCAAGCGTCTGATCATTGTCCATGCTGGATCCAGAGATGGATTTGTCGGTGATGCCTTGCTTACCACCTGGACCGACGGCAAGAGCACCGACTACCACGACTCGATGAATGCGCAACATTTCGAGGAATGGTTCTCCAGCCTACTCCAGAACATCCCGGCTAACAGCGTTATCGTCATGGACAACGCCAGCTACCACAGCCGGATTAAAAACAAGACCCCGACGACCAGTAACAAGAAAGGGGAGATCCAGGCATGGCTGGAAGAAAATGGCATTTCATATGCCGACGACATGCTCAAAGTGGAGCTTCTGGAGCTGGTTCACAAGCACGCTCCCCCAAAAACGTACTATGTGGATGAACTGGCAAAAGAAAAAGGACACACAGTGGTCAGGCTGGCACCCTACAGTTGCGACCTGAACCCGATCGAAATGATATGGGCTCAACTGAAAACGTATGTGAGACAACGCAACAGAAGCGGAAGCATGGGAGCCATCAAGCTGCTTGTGGAAGAGGCGGTGGCCCACATCCCACCCTCGGCATGGGCTAAGTGCTGCGATCACGTGGAAGTGCTCGAAGAGCGCTACTGGCAGCACGAGAACGTGGCCGAAGAGGTGGAGCGCGTCGTCGTTACCCTGGGAAGCAGTGATAGTGAAGACGAAGACACAGAAGACGAGTAGAAGACGAGAGGAGCTGTGCTGGGCTGACTCGCTATACGGTGATGACTGATGATGATCGCATGATTATGATTTGCGATTATGCACGAGGCAGGCGTGAACAGCTGGATGCAGACTGCACTGGGATGACCTTCAGAATATATGGTTTACTTTTTGCTCTTTCGTTTGACCTTTGATTTGACAAAATTTGACCTTTGATGACCTCTGGTGACCTGACCTTTGACCTGACCTAAAAATGACTGATGTGTTTTCTTCATTATTTCTTTTGCTCTTTCGAATAACGCTTACTGCGAGTCGCTACTTGGCCCAGGAGCTGATTTAGACGGGGGTGGGTTCAGACACCCCCGGCCCGGCGCGGAAGTCGCCGAGTACCGGCCCGGCGCTGTTTAAAATACAAACGACGCCCGGACATTTGAGCACTTTTGCATTTCATATAGGTATGATGCAATCTACATATAAAGAACAGTGATAAGGCGGTATACACAAGCTGGTTTCATTCCTAAATTATTCACTTTCTCAATCTCCTGCCTCCTGCTATCGCTGGCACCATGGCACGACTTTTGTACCATCTTCGCTGACACAAAGAGGCCACCTGGCCAGGGAACGTTGCCCTCCTCTCAACCCCTCTCTCCTCTTTTTATATAGTGTACAAACTGATAGCGCAAGAACGGTGATGACAATTCTCAAGAAGGGTTGTGAGGCGTAAAAGACAAATCCGCAGCTTATTCCACCAGCCTAAGTGAAAGTCAGCACAATTCTGAATGCTGGAGCCTGAGTGTGGAGAACATGGCAAGTTCAGTACGACAGCTGGATCGACACGGATCGATACTGGATTGATACGCTCCATTCGGGCCGCCATAAAAGGAGCCGATAGAAAGTGTCTCGTATTTCTGTTTTCGCAGTCTCAAAAGCACGCGCAGTTGCAATTTAGGCACTTAAAACGACCGGCAGCTGCTAAAAAAAAAACAGACTATAACACCGGCTTGGCACATTTCGAAATCAGACTGGTCGGCTCGGTCGGCTGGTCTCTGACTTGCGGATAGTTTGGAAAAAAGTATAGACATACGACTCATAATGAGGAACTGTGAATCGAAAATGCTTCCACACGGGGTCTAGCCGTAGGCACTAAACAAATTATTAAGATGATCACGTGGATGACCTGTTTACAGACCTACAAAAGTAACATACCGATTGGCATTTTGTTTTACGTTTATTTCTGTTGAGTACAAAAAGAAACATGAGCCAGCATCTCTGCCGATCTATTACAATGCTGATCGATCGATTTCTGTATTGGGAAGAAGTCGGGTATGCGCCTACTAAATCTGGAAAGACTTAAAAGACGACTGAAGTTTGCACGTAGCATGCGAGAACACAATGTAAGAGTTAAGACAACAATATGGAACGTCACCAGCTTCAGCAGCTAACAATTACATGTTTTCCATGAGCTTGCCGTTCAGAATTCCGGCCCCCGCGACAGATTCTGTCTTGAATGTTTAAAGATTTGCCGCTTGCTAGTTTCTCAAGTGATGAGCTGGCTGTGGAATCAATGTTACTCTATGAGTGACGTTAAATTTGCATACAAAATCAACAGTATGACTCAAATCTATGAGTTTACTAAGTACTATAAGCTAAATTGAACAACTTGCTCCGTTGCACTGCACTTATCTTTCAAAAATGGCCGAGAAATTCAGAGAAATTCATCTCAGCTTGCGTTTGCTTGCGTTATTTTCTAGCGTCTCGCACGTGCCAACTCCAAAATAATACTTCGGGCCATGAGCCTTTTGAAAAAAATGGACTATAGGTGAATTAGTAAAACCCTCTTCATAAATCATTTTCGATGAATCTAGAGTGCATACCCTCCACAGATCACATGATTAGCTTATCGTGCAGCGGGACAAGTACTGATACGGGTCCCATAAAACACCCCGTACCACGTCCATATCTACCGGCGGCAGTGGTGGCGGCCGGCCTCAAACCCACCCGATAGCGCCGTAACAGAGACCACCTGTCCGCGTCCTCTCTATCAGGGCGCAGCGCAGTGAGTAGAAACCCCGCTATCAGGGTAATGACGCCACCGGCGCCGGGCGACTATCGAGGATGGAGGTGCGGAGGTATAGAGATGATGGCGGCGACTGAGAGGTTTTGTCGCAGAGGAGCAGAGGATCTGTGAAAGGATACGGAGGGTGAGAGAAAGTGGTCAATACAATGGGAAACGTAAGAGGAGAAATGAGAATACGAAGGAAAAGCAACAAAACGGAAAAATAGGTGTGGCGAAATGCGTTAGCATTATAGGAGGTCACTGAAAGACAAGGAAAAGTGCTGGTTTATCACATTTTTTTTTCTGCGCTCCCGTTGTGTTACTACATCGGCATTGACATTTGCAAACCCCGGTTGAAGTATTCCAAAGAAATTCAAGGTATGAACTCACAACAATTTTCAGATAGCATCATAAATGTTGACCTCCATAAACATCTATGATGCACACATCAAAATCACGCATCATATTTACGTAAAATATCCGCCAAGCATCCCACCGTCGAAAAAAAAAAACAGGCACTTACACCACGGCCAGAAAGGCAAGCTGCAGGGCCAGACAGATCGTGACAGTGAAGAAATAGGCGCGGGGCATGCTGTAGATGAGGCCCCCAAACAGGGCTACGTCCGCCCGGTAGTAGAAACCGTAGTAGAGTTCGGTCGTGTTCAGCCAGCCCTAGGGAACAGGGCACGAGCGTGGTAGAAAACGTGGGGCAAATGCCAGCGTGGTGAAAAACGAAAAGAGCACAGTAACCAAAACCAGCGGGTTAAAAATGCCTAGCAGCAGCTGAACAGGGTTTGAAAATGCAAGATGCAAACATAATGTCACACTATGAATTAGAGAAAGCAAAATGCAGCAAATAAAATAAATGAGGAAACAAAGGAGGAGCACTGAACAATGGCAAAGAGGGTTTATGCTATCGAACACGTCTATGTACAACATACACAAAAAAAAACGCTTGCAAGATAATATCTCAATTTTATTACTCAACTCTAAATTAAACGAAACACCAGTCTATGTGCAATGAAATTAGACATCCAAACTCAGCCAATAACACACATCACATAACCAAAAGACACTACACATAAAGCGCTCTCCCTAACATCGGACGTGGGTGACGCTACCCTGACGTCACCTCTAACCTGAAAGAAATGTCCCGACCAGCCAACATTAAATCCCAACGAGCTCATCAACCTCGGTCATTGGCGTACCAAGACAGCCACTCGGTTTAAGTTACGCCGGCCATATGATGACGCCAAATAATTTGATCGATCTCATATGTGCCTCACCTGGTTCTCCGCATTCAATTTCTGAATCATCACCTGATCTCGTCCCCACTTCAGCCCAATCGTCGACCCCGATCCATATTCTAGGAAAAGGTTCACCAACTCACCTGTCACGAGAATACATCTCCCTTGACCCTTACCCACATGTCTCGTGCATATGTAGAACCTAACCCACGTCCTGTTCTCTGAGGACTTCTCCTTGACCCACCTGTCCGGTGAAGAGGTTGCCGAAGTGGAACGGCTGGTTGCCGCTGTACGCCGTCATGTCAGGCGGCGTCTGGTTGACGAAGACGCCCACAGCGCTGGCGAACGCCTCGCGAGGCTCGTGGGTTCGCAGCAGCAGCTGGGGTGTCATCAGGAAACCCACACTGGGAACAGAAAGATCATAAGTAAATCCTCAGGAAGCGTCCTACCTTATCGTCCGATCAAGGTGGGCAGGAACCCAGAAACGAAGTTCTACACACAAAATTCAGGCTTATCAGTATCCTTAAATAGAAATTGAGAAATCATGGAGCATCGATGCAAATATGTCGACAACTGGTAATCGACCCCGGTTCCAGAACGCGTTAAATTCGCACATACCGAAGCGACATACATGGCGAAAGCCAAAGGCCCAGCCTGACTTATGAAGCTATCTGAAAAGTATCAGCCGCATCTGCACCCCTTCTTGTCGTTCTATTAGATCCTCCCCCCTCCCCCCCCCCCCCCACGGCCCTCCGTCCTAATTCCACTCACACGGCCAGCATGGTGAAGAGGTTGAGGTAGAACAGCGACTCCAGGAACTCGAAGTAGGTGGCCACGCCGCTGCCGAGCTGGCCGCGCAGTCGCTGCAGGTGGCCCTTCCACAGCTTCACGAACTCGAACGCGTCGGAGAAGGCGCGACCCACCTGGGCGGGAAAAATGACACCTGGGTCAGATATGTTCCGACCAGCACAGGGCGGACTGACTGGTATAAACATGAGGAAACGTAGCAGAGTGAACAGGTATGGGCAAAATGCGGGGAAGTTGTTAGCATAAATATTATGAAAAATCGCAGTCGGCGACGGTTCGGTTTCTTCAAAAACCACAAACTATTGCCGAAGCTGCTGCCTTGGTAGTCCCGTTTTACCATTCCATTATAATTATATAATTGAATTACAAATACAGAAAATTAAGTTTTTCCTTAATCTAGCGAATCTCCCAAGAGTCTCCCATCCACGGTCCTCACCTGGACCAGCGAGTAGTGGAAGTTGCTGCTCAGCTGCGTCCAGAAGCCGATGCGCCTGCTCTGCTGCCGGTCCCGCTGCTCCAGTCGCTGCTTCACCTGACGTTTGTACGACAGCGGACGCTCCAGTTCACGCAGGGTATTCCTGATGAAGGGAAAGGGCCGAAGAGGGGTCGTTTGTAGGAGAACGGTCGCTCCAGCTCCCAAAGAGTGCTCCTGATTGGGAGGGAGGAGAGGGGTGGTCGATTGTAGGACAGCGGCCGCTCGAGTTACCTCAGCGTGTTCCTACAGACCCGGGAGGGGGCGGGGTCTTAACGAAACCACGCACCGTCGCCGTCGCCCTGAGACCGGTTCTCATCTCACTTCTCGCCCCCACCCTCTTTAAAGGGACTATCCCACCTTCTAAAATGTTGTTAAAACCAGTTAAATTGTGCCCGACTTTATAGATTGGATGACCAGGAACACGGTTCTGGCATTTATTTTCCATTAAACATCTTAGGCTTCCCATATTCCAAACACAAACTTTCAAATATGTGACGTCACAGCCCAAAATTACCTCCTTCCCCAGGCCACATTACTGTCATAAAGCTGATTCTTTTTACTCTGTAGGCACCACAACAAAGTTCAGACCAAGTTTTAAGCGATTTTTCAACGAACAAACCCATTTAAATCAGAATTACTAAACGAGGTGACGTCACACTAACGGTCGCTCCATGTTGAAGATAGGGCCTTGTACAAGGCCCATTTTCAAATGAAGGGAACGAATTTCTTCAACACCAAGAGGCCGCGGGGGTTGCAACCTAGATAGATAGTGGTTTCTGAACCTCGCCGCAAACTTGGCTATCTCAACTCAAACCCCATGTTAAAGGTGGGATAGTCCCTTTAACACACATCAAGTCATTCCCCAACTGAGTCGTCTATGCAAAAAAGAGCACTAACATATTGTCTTACCTTATCAATTCATTCATACTTTCTTCGACTTCATGATAGGCGTTTGGTTTCACAACCCGACCTCCAAGATCCCCGTCTGCCAAGTGCCAATCCAGCGCTGGTAGTCCGATTCCATTCCCATTTCCTAGCTCTCTCGGGCGCCTATCCCCGGCCCCCGGTAGCCGTGTGTATGCCGTGGGTCAGTGTCGGTACTCACAGTTCGACCTGTCTGGCCAGGTTGGCGTCAACCATGTCTCCCTCTCCGCGCTGGATCTCGTCCACCACGGCGTCCACATCGTCACCGAACCTGGGGAGGAAGAAAGTCAGACAGTTTCCTAACCTGAGTACAGGGCAGGGTTCAGCTTCAGGGACTTCAGGGTACACAATCGTCACCGAACCTGAGAACCAGGACAGAGTCAACCAACTACCAAGTACCCAAGGATCGGGAAAGTCAGCCACATATCCATTGAAACTAGGCAATGGATGGCAGAGTAATTACAACACACTTCGAATCAACGAAGAAGACCGTAGAATGACAACAAATATCTCACGGCATCAACATTAATTCAACGTAACACAACTCTCTATCGCATAACGCTGTATATTACGTAGCATCGCACACTCAAACATCCCGCGAATTCCCGTGACGTCAGATCACAGACTCAGTCTGACTCACCTGGCAACGTCGATGGCGCCGCGGATGGTGCCTCCGTACGAGTGGACCGACCTGAGCGTGCTGTAGGCCACGTCAGAGCCGCTGCCGCGACGGCGGCGCAGCGTCCGGCCGCCTGAGACGGCAGAGAGCGGGGCGGAGTCACATAGGGGACAGCGGAAGAGCGCGGCCAAATGAGGTCTTGTGGGAAGTGTTGGTCTAAACGTTAAACAGTTAAACACTATTGTCGGCATGTGGTGTTATCAGACATTCAACGGTGATTTTTACGTCTTGTGACTCACAACACAGCACAATCAGACTTTCTCACTGTTCAATGCTCACCCAGACTCCTTATTTGCGCTTACTGTTCTCAAGTTCACTGTGTTGCTTCTCACATACCAACCGGCAGCTCGGGAGGTCATCGCTTCATTTGGAGCTCCGTACTCACCTGTGGGGGCTCGGGAGGGCAGCTCCCGCAGCAGAGTCTGGGTAAAGCTCGAGTACTGCCGGCCGTGTTGGTAAAACTCCTCCTCCCTGCCGTGGGCAGATAGAAAGCGGCTGTGATAACAGCTGACAAACAATGAAACCTATGCACATTTGTGTACCATTGCCTAGCTTCTGGTGAGCAGAGATAGAGAAAATCACTTATCGCATCAACATATATATTTGTAGCCGTTTGTTAAGTTTCCGTGTAAAATTCTGAACAATCGTTAAGGATCCTCTGCACTGTTCGACATCACGAACAAAACGCAGCCTCAGCCTTCTCAAGCTGTATGAGAAAAAAACTTTCACACTTCTCGATCGTCCATCTATCCGCGACATCTAATTATACACCGTGCGGCGTGCGCCCGGCGCCGCCCCAGTCATCCCCCGGCGCTGTCGACCTCCCCGCCGCTCACCCGTTGGAGCTGGTGCGCTCCTGCAGCTCGACCATCTCTCCATCCGTCGCCGGGCCGACCGCCGCCGACGGGAACAGGCCCACCGGCACCCACGAGGTGGGCTCCGAGGAGCGGTCCCGGGAGCGCGGACCTCGCGCCATCGCCTCCTCTTCCGCCGCAAACGCGCCGTTCGTGTACTCCCGCGCCCGGTAGTCTGATGGAAGGGGAAGGGTTGGAATATTCTTGCTAAATGGAAATTGCATTGTGCAGTTAATATCATAAGAGCCAATATAAATTAGTTAAACAGATTACTTTAATGAAACAGACAGATTAATTAAACAGAGCCAAAATAAATCACACTCCAAATCATATGGGACTTGTCCAAAATTGAAATAGTCATCCATGATCTCACCAGATCTCAATCTGTAGAGAAAATTGGACTCAGAGCTAAGAACACATCAGATCCCCAAACAAATAACTGCTGCATCTTTGTTTCTACATCTACAATGCTGTATATTAGGCCTTCAATTCCTTCAGATCCAAGATCAAGGTCCATGGGATCAGATCCCAGATCCATTTTGTCAGAATCCTTGGCACTGTTCAAGTGTCTGTGGCTTCTGCGGCTCCCACCATAAAAAGGCTGAGCTTAGCTGGTAGCCAATCAGGTGAGGGCAGCATTCTGGGTATGGCATCACACTTCCTCCGGCTCCTGTTGCTGCTCGAAAGCACCCACAGGGAAACTTCAACATAAACTGTGTGCGCAAGACAAAACATTACAGATTTCACCACTCTTTGTATAGGTTGGTACCTTGACATAGACCCGGGAACAGGGGGGCAGCGGGGGCGCTTGCCCCCCCAACTTGAGAGCCGAGGGGGCGGCGCCCCCTCAACATTGAGGCAGCGAGAAAAGATCTTTCCTCCCTTTTCTGGACTTTTTTCCTTCTTGTTTCCTTCATACATCTATACGCATCAACACATGGCATTTTCCTTGCCATCTGAATGGTTTCTGCTGATACAGTAGGTATCGATTTGACATCTGCTATTGACTATTGTCATCCCGCTTTGATTTGGGCCTGATCGTGGCCATAAGTTTGGCAGGCCAGATTTTATACTGCACCAGCTTGAGTCAACTTTGAGAAATACATAACGTACAACGGTGGTAAAATCGTTGCTATTATAGGTATAACACAGTTTACCCGCTCCGGATGTGATGGAGGGCCGAGGGGTGTGGGGCAATGAGTGCACTGACGTGGCGCCCTCGGAGGGCCGATATGGGATTAAAGCTCAGCGACACTAAGGGCTTGTGTGGTGCCTTCGGTTATCGGTAGCACCCTCAGAATCACCGGCATAGGGCCCTCAGAGCCGCTGGTAAGGGGCCTTTAGAGGCACTGGTGTGGGGCCGCCATGCAGGTGCCGGTGTGGGCGCTCAGAGGTGCTAGTGTGATTCTCTCAGAGGCGCCGATGAGGGTCCTTACAAGTTGCTGGGATCCTCATTGACGCTGGTGTGGGGCCGTTACAGACGGGTGTGGGGCCTTTAGTGCTGCTGACGCGAACTCTCTACAAGCCGGCAGGGAGTCTCAGTGACCGGCAAGGGGACCTTACGCCGGCAGAAGAAGTCCTGTGGGGTCCTTAGAGACAGGCCCTCATAGGCGCCGACGAGGGCCCCACAGTTGCCGTTATGGGCCCTCAGAAAATTAAGTGTGGGACCATCACAGGCGGGAAATGCCCCTAGAACTGGCACCTCATAGGCCGGTAAGACCTCTCAGAGGCCAGTAACGGGCCTTTAAAGGCCCGTTACTGGCCTCTGAGAGGTCTTGGAGATCACCGAGGTGTCCTTAAAAGCCGCAAGAGGCCCTCAGACGCCGGCGTCGGACCCTTATGGAGATCTTAGTGTGGCTATTTAGGGCCCATGAGGTGCTCAGACGAGCCCCATGGGGCTCTTCTGAGTAGAAATATGGCCATCGTTAACCCTCAGCGGTCAAATGGCGCCGCAGGGCCCCTCGGACCCGAGTCCCCTTTATCCCGATGGGGGGGGGGGGGGGTACGTGTTCCCTTAGACCCCTAGCTACGCCACTGTTTCATATGCATCATGTCAGGTATTTTAGGCTCGCCCCCCCAACTTGAAAATCGTTCCCGGGCCCCTGTACCTTGACCTATCATGATTCTGTTTTGCAATAAAGCAATTAAATAATTAAAATTTAAGCATTTTAGGTGGTAGGTTTTAGGTTGTAGGTTAGGTTTGGTTTGAATAGAAAGCATCTCTGGGCATAGCGCCTCTCCTTGGTTGAAAAAACAAGTGTGATGCCTGCTTTAGGACTATACCACCTGGCTGCGGGAGCTAGAGCGGCCGCAGAGCACCTGGATCAGGATGGGGCCCTACACATGTCTGCTTTTCACATTTCAAATGCATGTTTCCAAATCTCCAATAAATACTAACCCATTTTAGCTCAGCTGCGAGGAAGACCTGGACCCAACTCCGGGATGAAGCATGCTGCGCATCAACAGGCAGACTGCAGGTGAACAAGCTAGCAAGGGAATTTTACAGATAAGCTATCAATCAATGCGCGAAAGCTTGTCTTATCAAATAAACGTGACGAATCAACATATCACAGAATATAACCCAATCGCAGCTAGCACAGATAGGAAAATGACAAAGCTTCTTTCTTCTGCAAAACAAAGCGGGGCCATGCACACAGGCATTTATTTCCCGTTGAATTAGGAGTACTTTATTATCACGTGACTTTGGTGGTCACAAATTGGTTATCTTGCTTTTTATTTCAGTTTTGTTGTCTCAAAGAATTTATAAAATTCATAAAATTTGTTTTTAAATGTTTCAAAATACAATTACTGATTTTTAGAGCTAGAGTTAAGAATATATCAATTTAAATACTAGCAAACACGTGACCTTCACAGGCTAAAGCGTGCTAAAATGGCGCAGCTGTTACAAAATAAAGCCCACGGACAAGTCCGCGGACGCGCATTTGATAATCTCATTTTTTCGATTTTTTTTTTCAACGACAGGGTAAGTTCGGAAATCCTAACACAAATCTAAGCATTGCAAGGCCCTAAAACATAAATCTAACCTATGTACGGCCTTGTGAAAAGACCTGAAAGGCCGATAAGATGTCAATATCCTTGTCTATCCAAGAACACCAAAAACCTCAGTCATATAACACGTTGAGTGCTGTTATGTTGAATCTTGAAGGAATTTAGTCATTAATTGCAAGCACTAGGCCAGCTCGACCTAATTTTTTCTTGAATTTTAGTTAGCTCAAGGATTCTGATTCACAGGGCACTCAGTCTGATTCACTTCCAACAACTTTCTCAAACCTCAGCTGACAGTTCAAGATGTTGGATGACAGTGAAAACAGGGCGCCTGGGGCGATTTGATCAAGGCTCTTGAAATTCACTCACATAAACCACATGACATTCAGCATATAAAAGGCATTAAGAGGGGGGAGAAGGGACGCCGGTGGAAACAGGGCGCCGGAGGGCATATTAGTCACGTGACATTTGGAACTTCTCCCGCTCCATGGGCCTTCTATATGCCAAACGTCAGGTGTAAATTTCATGAACCTTGATCAAATTGCCCCAGGCACCCTGTTTTCACCGTCGTCCGGGAGAAGTTGTTAATAGTCAGTAGTCACGTGACTCAATATGCCCTCTGCCGCCCTGTTTTCACTGGCGTCCCTCATGTTCAATGTGATCAGGATTTAACAGGCCTCTTGGCTCTTGGCCTGAGCATCCCATCCCATCAGTTTTATGAGATTTTGTATGTGCTGAACTAAGTTGATTGATGTGCATGATTTTGCAGTGTTTTCCAGTTGTGCCTTGGATTGGTTGATATATCAGAGGGCTGTTCACGAGCCCCGTGTGCAGTAGGACCATCCTTCTGTCACCACACGCAGCGACCGCTGTGGTCAGTCAGGACTGGCCACAGTTTCAGCACGCAGCCATGTGACATCATACAGACTACCCAATACCCATCCCCTAGGTACCCCACGCCACGCCTGCTGCACACACCGCACACACCACACTCAGCATGCAGTGCCTGTGAACAGCCCTCAGAGTCTAAGAGCGAGCTGAAGTTGTTTCTTAGTAGCTTTGGCACTGAATGAGTCTTTGCAAAAGTTCTCCAACTTGAACTTGTTTTCTAGCTTCAACTGTGAACTGTGGTTCTGTCAGCCTCATTCCATGCCAGGAACTCCCCGAGTGGCGTCATACCTGTCACGTCAGCTGCTTTACTGGAAGGTATGTCACCTCAGCATGGCAGAACTGTGCATGACAACAGCGATATGAACAGAGGCTGTGAATACGATGCTTCCAGCTACCCAGCCGGCGCCATGTCCCGATGCTTCCCGGATCGTGTTTCACGGCACATCACTTCCCGACACTAGGTACCAGGCATTGACGCTCGGATGAAACAAAAGCAAAATTTTGCAATTTTGCATATTGCATACCCGTCTATGGAAATCTAGCGCCAATACCTGATAGCGACGGGTAGCGGCGTGCCGTGAAACAGGGCCCCGATCGCTAACTGACCCCGTCCGGACACCGCCGGGCAGAGGTCACTGACGGTCACGTGACTGGCGCCCAAGGTCAACGCGCATGCGCCGCGCGGATAACACCGCGGTGGTGTTCACCGACGCTGCCAGCGCACTGCCAGCGCATCTCGCGGGCTGACGTCACACTTGTGGTAGTGTTGGAGCAATGGGCTTCGTGTGTGACGTCAGCTCGCGAGATGCGCTGGCAGCATGCTGGCAGCGTCGGTGAAACTAGGAATCTTGGGTGAAACACCGCCCGGGCCGCAGCGATCGGCCGGGTCAAGTTGCGCCCCGACCAGTTCGACAAATAGCAAAAACCCTATTATCAGAGTCGATTAATTGACCTGTCAGGTCACCAGTTGACGTGAGCACCTAAATTGTGTTCTTTCTCTCGGAGAGCAATGCGTTTGTCTTTGTTCCTCTAAGCTCTAGCTCAAAAGCTGCTAATCTCTTGGCCTGACTGTCAGTGAACTGGGTTTTCTATGACCTAAAATGCCCTACAATGCCCTAAATTCTAATGCCCTTAAACATAAGTGAACTGGGATCAGTATTTTTATTCGAGATGCAAAATGAATGCGTTTTATGTCGCCTATCACTGGTATATAGGGGTATTGACAAAAAAGTACCCTCCGCCGAGGGTCAGGCCGAAGGTTATTTCTGAGTAACTACCGGCCCGTTGACCCGTTGCGATTAGCTTATGGAGAATCCCAACATGGACCATGACTAATGTAGGTACAGAGACGAACGGCACGGACATCGATCCCACCAAAATAGACATATGAGGAGACGCTGGCTACCTAATTAGAATCCGCCTTTGGGAAGATCAGGCGATCAATGTGCCTATTTTCGGAAGGCCGTCGCTGGGTTTCGTTAGGTCATCGTACAGTCCACAGCAGAAGTAATGTGTGGTTTCAGTCATGGGTATGTTCTGCTTCTGAAGCCTAGGAACGATTAGCCAGACTGCAACGAGACTTTAAATGTAGCTTACATGTATCTTCACCCTTGGCCCTTGCAGCTACAACTTTGTCTATTGACGTCTTCTTTTCAATCAGTCCGCATTTAAAAATCGTCGGTCAAAGCCATCCGTTGAGATTGGTAAAACCACACATTACTTTAGCGGTGGGCTGTACATGAGTGTTTTCTTACGTACGTAAACACAATTTTTAGCCTGCGTGGCTAGCGAAACCGTACCGAGAAGCGGAGTTTGGCCCGTATCGTGTCGAGTGACATCTTAGGCTCCTTATCCAAACTTGCCTGCGCCCAGGTGACCTTTGGAATTTCGCGCCGAAAGTGTGCTGCAACTTATTCAGTACCATTAACATTATCCGCAGATTACTCAATCGCTTATTTTATTAAACTTTTCTTCGACCAGGAATCTGAACCACAAAGGCCAAAGCCTGAGGGCTGAGGATAGCCAATTCACCGTTAACACAAAAAGTGCCTATCGGATCAACCCAGGTCACTTCCTGACTTTCTGAACTCTCCGGTTGACCTGCTGACGATGCTGACATCAGCAATCACATCACTTCACCTGTTCATCATTCGCTCGCGTCATAGGACTGACCTTAGCGCGTTCCCGTGTCCGTTGGATCGTCGGACAGTCTTCGTCGTGCGGTTACAGAAGCAGAATGCGGAGCAGCTCGAAAATATTATCACCACCGTATTAAAATATGAAAAATGTTATACTCCAAGTAGCTCGATAGAACCGGAATGCTATATTAGCGGAATGTTATGTTTAATCACTCCCGGGAACGTCTTTACACCACACGAGGCCCGAGCTTTCGAACCACACGGGACGACACACTGGCAAGGGCGAAGAAGCGCCGGTGTAATCGTAGAGGAAAATTGTCCACAGGAAACACAAAACGCCAGCACCGGCCGACAACGCGACCCAAACCGGACTGGATTTGAGTTGACGCGAGGGCGGGCGGTGAGCTATTATGAGCGAGCGTTGACCGAATGGTGAGCGGGCAATGAGCGGTTTTCGACCTTGAGTCTGTTGCCGGTGAGGACCTGAGGTGTGTGCTGCTCAGTCGCGGTAGAGAAGCCCTCCAGGACGGTGGTCACTCGCGGTGGAGTCGATACGGCTGGTCAGTCGTGGACGGGTTGTCTAGTCTATCATTCGTGTTGGTTAAATCGGCCGGCCAGTTGCGGCGGTGTAGTCAGTACGACTGCAGGCTGGTCATTAGCGTCGGTCGGTTGTCTGCTTCTGTAGTCAGACAGTGGCTAATCACGACAGAGGGCGGCTCGACAGTCAGTCGGTCGGTCGGCGTAGGAGCTGACGGGCCAGTGCAGTCGGTCGGTCAGTCGGCGTATAAGTGGACCCCTGGGAGGCGGAACTGTACTGGTGGACAGAGTGTCACAGACGTGGTGCTGAAACGGGAGACGGACAGACGAACCGATACTCGGCGGTTCTGTGTTTCAGTGATCTATCAACTGAAGGTGTGACATCTGTGGTGATATGAACCGAACGCGAAGGATATACCTTTGCAATTCAACATTATGCGCCTCCTAAGACTATCGGGAGCATAATAAGAATAATTCACTGTGAAAATAGTAACAATTCCCCGGAGATAAACAAGCAAAATAGCTCAGTAACCAACAAGCGGCGTCCCTGAAGCTCACCACCGAGTGTCATCTTCAGTCAGCTCTCTGAGCCTCGTCCGGCCGACCTGTCACCCCTGTATCTCTCTCCTCCAGGGAGTCAGCCATGGCGGGGGCGGCCGGAGTCGGCGCGGGGGAGTTCAGTAGCGCCTGGACGCTAGCGGAGGCGGCGGCCCGCGATCCGTTCCATCTCGGACAGTTCTTCGCACTCCTCTGGGAAAACACCAGGTGAGTGGGCGCCGGAGGTATACCGTGGATCGCGCTGCTGTGGGCGGGGTGTCGCTGTGACCTGTCTGTTTCAGTCTCGCTACTTGCGAGTATGTTTGTCGTAAGCCTTGCACACATTTAATTTTGTAACGCGTGCCTGCATTATCATGTAGAATAAATGTATTCCCATAACTCATTACTTGATGACCGGTCATTATTCTGCGTGAAGGCGAATCGAATAAGGATAATTGACTTACAAAATAACGAGTGGACTCATACACAGCCCAGTGAGCTAAACGTATAGGCTAGCCCACTGTGCTCACCCGTCTTCGACTGTCTATTTCTCCAGCGGGTACCTGCTGGCCGCCTGCCTGGTCTCGGTGGCCGCCGTATTACTCAGCTGGGTGTACGTGGTCCGTGGCGCCGGACCAGCCCGTGGTCCGGACCAGAGGACCGGTGGTCCGGACCAGAGGACCGGTGGTCCGTCGGAGGACCGCTCCTCACCGGCGGTGAGTGGTGGAGTTTGGAACACTGGCGAACTCAGCGGTAACAGCCGCTGGGATCGAGTTATCGAGTTAGCGCTGATCTGTAATGGTTGTCCAGTTTATTGTATGCTGATGACTTGATGTTGCTTTTATTTGAAACATTTTCATCTGTTCAAAATTACGTTACATGAGTGATCGTTGATAATTATTTCTTGTTATGACTTATGAGGCTACCTTTTATTTTTTCCTTCCTTTTTCTTTTACCTATCAAATGTTTATTCTGCGTTATTGTGTATTTTAGAATAGCTGCAATGACGTATTGTTCGTGTTGTTTTCATGTCTCCTATTAAAAAGTAATTTATCGACTCATCATCAGAAATGTTCATATATCCAATTCCGTGAAAGACAACTGCAGCGATATCCCACAGCGGACAACCCACCTGATGAGTCCAAAACAACATAGCATGCATAATGAGAAAACTTTCGCTTGGAGCGGGCAAACCACCTTCTGCTGGCCTAGACATGAACCTTTATGGCCAAACTTAGTCTGGCTCTCGAACAGTTTCGTGAGTGAGAGATAGGGCCGCTATCTTCGACGGGCGACGGTCGATGAGCGATGAGCGATGGTCTATGGTTGATGTCAATAGGAGTCCCGTGTCGTCCCGGGTTCGGTCAGATCAATGAGACAGGTCGGGTCCTAGTGCGTGTTAGGGTAGCGTGACGACAGAAAATAAGGCTGAAAGTGACTCTGCCGTGGGGAGTCGAGTGTGCCATGCGGGGGGGGGGGGGAGGGGGGGATGATGCTGTATGGAGGTATGGCTGAGTGATCTGGTTTTGGGTACGGCTGTTCCAGCAGAACTAGAGTTGCGGTGCGGGTGGAAATACGGAAACTGAACGCTCGATTATCGATCGTAATTATTTATACTAAAACTGCATCTTATTACATAATTTCCTGAGACTTTTTCGAATTATTGTTCCTCTAACGATCGGCTTAATGCTTCCTATATGATGTATGTATACTTGCTGTGAAATAACGCCTTATGCAGTTCTGCCCTGCCGATGTTACACCATTTCTTGCTACGTTTCACAGCCGAGTGATGCGTAAACTCAATGCCGCTTATGATTTTTATCGAACCTTTAAGACTCAGACACCGTTTGACGTCAGTCCAGCCTTTCTATTTAGTCATACTACTGTCTGCAACTTTTGTTATCGTGCCCTGACTCTTCCCACCTTCCCCTCTGCCCCTCAAACAGACTCGCTCTCCGACCAAGACCGGCCGCCACACCCCCTCCGCCGCCGCCGATGACGCCGATGACGGCGCTGATGACGCCGACTCGGCCAGTGAGGGCAGCGCCGCCGCCGCCGCGGTCCCTCCTCCCCCTCCTGAGGAGGAGGAGGAGCTGTGTTCCTCTGAGGAGGGTGGAGGAGGGGTTCCTGACCTGGTGGAGATGGCCCACCATCTGCCGGCCAGGATGAAACAGGCCGAGCTGAGACACATCCGGCAGAAACTGCAGAGCGATATGACTGAGGAGCAGCGGCGCAGAGAGCGACAGTGAGTAACGGGAGGGAGGGAGAGAAAGAGAGGGAGGGAGGGGCTGGTCTGGACATAGGGAGTGAGGAGAGGGGGGGAGGGGAGGGGAATCCAGCTTTTCTGACATCCTAATGTACTGTTTATGCGGTTCGACCGTCTTGTTTGTCCCGACATACCCATTAGCGTGTCAGTGCAAATGGCATACCCATTACCGCTCAGGTACCCATTATCGTATCGATGCTCATGTCACAATATGGCGGAGACCTGACAGGGCAGCTATTCGTGAGCGTGTCCCATCGACACTGGTGACACAACACAATGTTGATACTTGATATTTGGTGCCTGGTATTTATTTGAAAAGTTCATACTTGACAGTGTGACATACCCGACACCCTGGTTACTTCCTCCCGACACACCTTTCTCGTCGAGAGTGCATCTGACACACATGTGACACACATCTGACACACATCTGAGACGCTTATCGGTCATAACCCACCTGACACACCTCGGACACCCACCCGTGACACACCTGACACTGACCTGAGTCTGACACCCCTGTTCCGTTCGCCACAGGGTGCAGAGCGGGATCAGATGACTGCCATTCTGGAGCACTGTTCTGACACTCCTGAGTGACACTTCTGACACCTATCTTTGACATCCACCTGACACCTATCCGTGGCACACCTGGCAACTTCCTGACACCCGTGTTGTGTGTCACAGGGTGGAGCGGGACCAGATGACTGCCATCATGGAGCACTTCTGACACTTCTGAGTGGCATTTCTGACACCTATCTTTGACACCCACATGTGACACTGCTGACACCCATCCGTGATACCCATCCGTCACCCACCTTACACCCACCTGACACCCCGGTTCCGTTCTTCACAGGGTGGAGCGGGATCAGATGACTGCCATCATGGAGCACTTCTGACACTTCTGACACCCACCTGACACGCTCCTGACACCCGGTCCGGTATTCCACAGGGTGGAGCGGGATCAGATGACTGCCACCATGGAGCACTTCTGATACTTCTGAGTGGCACTTCTGACATCTGACACCCTGCACCTGACACCCCCGGTTCGTTCGCCACAGGGTGGAGCGGGATCAAATGACTGCCATTATGGAGCTGATGCAGAAGAACAGCGACAAGTTCGGCTCGCCCTCGCTCGACGATATGCAGGCACAGCTCAAACTCTACATGTGAGAGCCGTACGGATACGCCGGGGACGACGGTTCGAGTCCCGGTGAGAGCTGATACTTTATCGAAGGTCGGGGAACAGGGAGACGAAGTGGGAAACATTGACGATGTTTGTGTGACTCTTCGGTCGAGCAGTCTTACACAACTGATTGATGTGATTGTTATTGTGTTTTGGGAAAAGCTGTTAGTAAGGTACGCGTTGGTACTTCCTTTGAATTCCGCGGTTTTTATTTTTTATTTGGGAGCATTGGCGAAGCTGCCTTCTAAAACATACTAAATTTTGACCATTTTAAGTGCCGTTGTGTATGGAAAGACCGTAATTATGATGTGGCATTCACGAGAAACCGTCCAACCAGGGCACTGAATAGTTCAAGAGTTACTTCTCAGTTTGTGAGGCTCTTGGTATTCAAATTTCGTTGTCGCTTTTCCCGAGGCATGCTACGTCAGTGTGGACAGAAGTGATGTGAGTTTAGCCCCACCATTTTGCCCCGTGGGGTAGCAAAATATCTTTAATATTTAACTGCGCGTCAGTGCCGACTTCCGACTATACCTGAGCTAGTCATTGACTCGAGGAGTTTCTGTCGGGGAACTCTGGGAGTGCTGTCCTTGTGACATAGGATACTACGTGTATTGTTGGTTTGTGAGAGCATCGTACGAATATGTGACACGTTATCGTGCTCGATGTATGTGATCTTGAATATTGATGTTATGAGTGAATGTGGACATTGTCCAATATTCATTGCCATTTATGGATAACGTTTTAGTATCGCACTGTTATTTATCTTGCCTTGTGTCTCATCCTGCGTGATTCGGAGTATCAGCAGCATGTCACGAGGAAAAGACGTTGACTGGTTTACGTGAATGTGCTTATTGTGTTTTCCTTCCCAAGTGGCCACTGGCCAACTCCTTTTCCAACGCTTTTTCCCGGGTAGATGAGGACCACTTTTTCTGCAACACACCCATGATGCGCATTCGGTCCATGTTTTGGGAACCAAACCCATTTTCCTCCATGTGTACTTTTATCAAAGGTAATTATTTCTATCATAAACCGTTTTATTGTAGTGGTGCACTCGTCATTTAATAAGAATTCGCAGCGTAGTAGGCACGCTGTTCGCAGCGTAGTAGGCACGCTGTTCGCAGCGTAGTAGGCACGCTGTTCGCAGCGTAGTAGGCACGCTGTTCGCAGCGTAGTAGGCACGCTGTTCGCAGCGTAGTAGGCACGCTGTTCGCAGCGTAGTAGGCACGCCGTGATCATAGCTTGTTCAGTGCCGCGGTGTATCACAGTCTCTTCCATTTCCTTCCCACCAATTGGTACACAGCTGAGCTTCAATGGGTAACTGTCAAACCGTCTTCAGCTAGCCGGCCACGGAAAATCCCGAGGCTTCTGTCAGAGGAGTGCGCGTATGGTGACTGATCTCTAGTTATGTGCCCACTGCAGTGTCTGCCAGATGCTTTGTCATACATAGTTAGTACCTAGTGGTTTTAGTCCGCATAGTTGGATGTGCATTGCTCTAAACGACTAGGACACCTCTTCCATGTATTGAAGGCGCCTTCCTGCCAGAAAGCGTCGATAGTAACTCTATCCGCAAGCACTCGTGACTCTGTGCATCTTTGTGTACAGCTGTAAACAATATATTGTATTTGTATCCAGTGTGTATTGAAAACCTTCTCTTACAGTATTTTCCCGATTGCGCCGATTTACAAATTAACCAATATCGCAGTGTTGAACCGTTAAAATCGCGTTGCTTAGAAGAAGTCGTCCTCGGTTCCAGGCTCGTCCCCAGTGGGAGCGGATACCTCTCCCTCGGTCTCTGGCGCGTCTCCCTCCATCTCAGTGACGTCTCCTTCAGTGCCAGGGGCGTCTCCCTCGGTTTCTGGTGCGTCTCCCCCAGTCTCATCCGCGGGCTCGTGAACTGCCAGAACCGTCTCCGATTCGCCTCCGTCGGCGCCTCCGGCCACCGCCTCCGCCTCTCCGTCGTGAGCTGTTGTCTCTTGTGTCTCTTCTATCGTCTCCTGTCCCTCTTGTGCCTCTTCCGTTGTCTCGGTTGTCTCTTTTGTCTCCTCTGTCGTCTCCTGCGCCTCCTCTGCTGTCTCTTGTAACTCTCCCGTTGTCTCTTGTGTATCTTGTGTCTCCTCCGTTGTCTCCTGTCCACCAATCTCACCTCCAGACGCGGTTGTCTCTGCTGTCGTCTCCCCAGCCATCGCGTCTCCCTCCAGCTCTGATGTCTCCCCACCGGGAGCCTCTTCTTGCTGTTGTTCCACCTCCGATGTGTCTCCAGGGTCTCCCTCTGTCTCTGTCCCTCCTCCGCCGTCCTCTCCGTCTGTCTTCTCCATCTCCTCAGTTTTCTCATCTTCGGTTCTCTCTCCTTCCGTGTTGTCTTCTTCTCCCGTTTTCTCTCCTTCGTGAACCGTTTCCAGTTTATCCACGGACACGTCTGCTCCTGCAATGCCTGCTCCGGTATCTTCCAATGAGGATTCTGCTACTATGGACAGCTGGGCGTCACTGCCCCGGGCGTAACTGGCGCCCGCCGTGGGCGCCGTCCAGCCCACGTCCAGCTCGTCCTTATCAATAGATGCCGTGGTCTCGACCTGAGAGCCTCGCGGGCTCATCTGGGACTCGCTGGTCGCTACAGGGCCCTCTGTGGACTCCGTGGGTTGGTGGGTGGATTCGGGTGCAGAGTCCACCGCGCTGCCCTCATCTGGTGGTTCCGCGCTGTCGGCTGCGGTATCCACTCCCTCCGTGTCGGCAGCGGTATCAGACGGGGCGGCGTCCTCTCCAGCACCGGCGTCTGTCGTCTCCTCCCCGTCTGTGGCCGCTGGAGTCTCTTCGGGTTCAACATCTGTGGCCTCAGCCGGCGGAGAGGTGCTGCCCTCACCATCCGCGCTGCCCGCCGAGCCGGCACGAGGCGTGCCTTGGCCGCTGGCCTCTGCGGGCTCCTCTGCTGGCTCCTCTGCGGGCTCATCTGTCGGTTCTGCTGGCTCTGGTTCATCTACTGGTGGCTGTTCATCGTCACCGGTCAGCGTCGTCTGACTGCCGGTCGTTGCCTCGGCGTCAGATGGCTGAGGCTCTTCTTCCGTCTCCGTGGGTGGCAGCGTCTCGTCCTCGGTCTCAGTCGGTCCGTCGGCGTCACCCTCGGCCTCTGATGGAGGGATCGTGTCCTCCTCAACGTCAGTTGCGGCAGGAGTTGGTTCGAATTCGTCTGGCTCGGCGCTGTCCGCAGGGAGTGCAGGCTCGGAAGGCTCGTCCCCGTCAGTAGGCTGTTCTTCCTCCGTCTGTCCCTCTCCCTCCGTTTGCTCCTCTCCTGTCGTGAGCAGGGATTCTCCCTCTCCTTCCGTTGCTGCCAGTGATTCATCCTCGGCCTCGGCTGCTGCTAAGGGTTCCTCTTCTTCGTCGATAGGCGCTGGTGGTCCTTCGCCCTCCATTTGTTCCCGGTCCTCGTCAGCGCTCTCTGCGGCGGTTGATTCTCCTCGCTCGTGATTCTCACCATCGGTTACCACCATCTCATCCTCGGTTTCTCCTGCGAAGAAGTCGTCGCGCTCCTCGCCAGGCTCGCTCTGACCTTCACTCTCCCCGGGGGTTTGTTCCTCCTCTTGTTCCATAGCTCGTAAACTCTCTCTACTCTTCATCTCCTCCTCGAGTCTCTTCCTGTCCTCCTCGACAGCTCTCTTTTCCTCTGCGATCTGCGACTCTATCCTCTCGAGTCGCTCCCGCTCTTCGTCCTCCCGTCTCAGTGACTCCCGCCGCTCCTTCTGGAGGGTTTCCATCTGACTGGCCACCCGTCGGTCCTCCATCTCCTGTCGGGAGATGCGCTCCTGCAGCTGCTGCCACGACTCGGTGATCTTCTGACTCTGCTTGGCCAGCCGGCTGTGCTCGGCGTCCGCCTGCCGAGCGTCCTCCCGCCGGCGGAACTCACTCTCTGACAGCTCAGAGACGGCCATCGCGCCCGAGTGGCTCTCCTTCGCCAGCGCCTCGACCCTGCGCCGCTCCTGCTCCAGGCACTCCCGCTCCTCCTCCAGCGTCAGACGCTCCTCCTCCAGCCGCTCGCTCTCCAGGATCAGCCGCTGCCGTTCCTCCTCCAGCTTCTGCTCCCGTTCCTTCAGCTTCTTCGCCTTCTTCGGCGGCTGCTTCCTGCGGTTTCGGGTTGCCGGCGGAGCGCAGCCGCCGCCGCTTACCGGCTTCTGCACCTTGGGTTTCCTCTGCGGGTATTTCTGCGCGGTGGGACCGATCAGTGGTTTGATCACCGGCGGACATGTGGCGTACATCTCGATGGCCGCGCAGATGCAGCCCTTCTTGGCGTGCTCGATGGGGATCTGTTTTCCCCGCAGCTGCAGCGGCGGGTCCACGCAGCAGTGGCGTTTGCCGCCACGCTTCCCAAACTGATCCCACGTCTCCTGGCGACACGCGGCGTGGTAGGTCGAGCAGCCGGGCCGCACGACGGTGGTGATGTTGGGCGGTTTGGCGCAGGGCGGCGGCAGTCGGCCGCTGGAGGGCGGCGAGGACCATAGTTTCTCGGCGGCCTCGTCCCAGACACTGGCAGAGGAGTGCGCGGCCGCTGAGGAGGACGGGCGCCGGCCTGTGGACGAGGACGAGGACAGGCGCCGCGAGGAGGAGGACGCCGAGGAACGGCGGCGACCCCCGCCGCTCGAGCGCCGGATGGTGACACTCTGGCGGGGTGTCACCTTCTCTTCCTCCTGCCATTGCCGTTCGTCTTCCTCTTCATCATATTGCTTGTCGTCATCGTCATGCCTCATTTCCACCTCTTCCTCTCTTCTCCATTGTTGTGCTGGTTCCTCCTCCTCCACTTCCCTCTCGTCTTCCTCCTGTTGGTTTTCCTCCACCGCCGACTGCGGTTCTTCCTCCTCCCGCTCCGTCTCTTCCCGTTCCACCTCAGTCTCCTCCCGTTCCACCTCGGTCTCCTGGCCTCCGGTTCCGTCTGTCTCGCTCTGCAGCCACAGCCCGCTGTCGGGCGCTGCCGGCCGCTCGTGGCTCGACTCTGTCCCGCTCAGCACGCCGGAGGAGTCGCCGAGGAAGTCCCCGCTACTGGCGCTCACCGCCGACTCTCGGCTGGCGCGTGGGGACGCCTCCGTCTCGCCGAAGGGTGTTGGCTCCTCAGGCGGACACGCTGAGGCGTCGCTCAGGGCTGCCACACTGCCGGAAAGAGAGGCCTGACCGCTGGGAGCTACGGATAACTGTCCACTGCGTGCGGGGGATGCTCGCCCGCTGCCGGAGGGTGACGCTACGCCGCTAGTTACAGCACTAGCTACACCACTGGCTACAGCACTAGCTACACCACTGGTTACGCCACTAGCTGCACCACTAGCTGCACCACTGGTTACACCACTGGTTACACCACTAGCTACACCACTTGCTACACCACTGGTTACACCACTAGTCACCCCGCTGGCACGCGCTGCGACCTCTCCACTTTGACTTGCCGACGCCGCCTGTTCGTCGCTGGCCGGTTCCAGTCCGCTGTCGTAGGCCGCCGCTCCCTCCGCTGACGTGGCTCGCTCTGCTGAAGCTGAAGACATCGTGACGCCAGTCTGTGAAGGATGTGGCGAGCTCATTGCGCTGGCCTCCGTCTCTGCGCGCTCGCTCTCCGACATCCCTGCGCCCGAGTCTGAGCCTGCAACAGACGCTGTGAGACCGACAGTGGACCCAGCCACTGCTGTGCCATTGGCTGCTACAGAAGCTCGCGAGCCGGGGAGGTCGCTTCGGGATGCCCTGGAACGTGACGTCATTGAGGCACGTGACGTCACGCGGGACTGTGACGTCATACCGACGACGGAGCCGGTGTTCTCCAGCGGCTCGGCCTCTGAAGATGAAGAGGCTGCCACTCGAGAGCCGGTCTGAGCGAGCCGCTGTGATGAAGTTACGCCCACCCTTGATCCGGTCTTCGACGTTTGAGAAGTTGACACACCGACTCTAGATCCTGCTCTGGATGCCTGAGACGGCGAGGCGTCTACTCTCGATCCAGCTCTTGAAGTCTGGGAAGGGGTGACGTTGGCAATCGAGCCCGTTCTCGACGTTTGTGATAGCGCAGCGCTAATCTTTGATCCTGTCTGAGATAGCTTTTGTGATGGGGACGCTCCGAATGCGGATCCCGTTTGAGAGAGCTGGCCTGATGCCCGAGGCGACGGCGGGACGTCCGACTCGAGCGCTGATTGGCTGACACTCGCGGCCCCGGGTCCTGATTGGCTGGCGACTGGAGTCAGCTGACCTGAGGCGGTGGCGGAGGCGGTGATGCCCTCTCCGTCGCTCGGGGCCGGGGTCAGCTCGCCAGGTGACCTCCCGGCGTCAGAGGTGTCAGCAGGGTCGGTATTCCCCGTGCCACCAAAGCCTCCGTCATCGGTGGCATCAGCGCTGGAAGCCTCGTTACGTGAGACGGTGTTGGTGGCGGAGGCGGCGCCGAAGTCGTCCAACTCGCCGGCGTGCTGAGAGCCCGCTGCGGTTCGCGCTGCGGTCGAACTCGTCACCGTCATCGGACCTTTGGAGGAGCCCCTGGCGAGACCCGCACTGGAGCCCCGGGACTGCGTCCTGGCCATACTCGATGTCGATGTGGGACCCGAGGGAGTTCTGGCCAGGCTGGATGTCGATCCCCTTGGAGAACTTCTTGCAACACTTGATGTGGACGTGGGCCCTCTGGACGAAGTTTTGGCTAAGCTTGACGATGACATGGGACCTCTTGATGAGGACTTTGCCAGGCCGACGCCAGTGCTGCTTTTCTGTGATATTCGTGATGATCTTTTCTGTAGCGTTTGTGACGATCGAGCCGCGATGCTCTGCCTGCTGCTGGCGTTGATGGAAGCATTGCTGGACGGCGCGGGGCTATCTGGAGTGGGAGCTTCAGCTGATTCTTCCAGGGGTGATTGGGATGGCGACCCGGATAAATTTTGATCCTGACGTTCGTTTGAAGTGGCGCTAGCAGACTGAGGCGGTGAATTTAATGAATCCTGACTAAATGACATCCTATCCGACGCGACAGGTAAAGGTGGATTCGTTGCACTTCTCTGGTAATTTGTTTACCGCTATAAAACAGGAGGGCTTAGGTGAATCCATTCATTAGTAACTTTTCCATGCGTTTTTCTTAATAAGATTTATTGCTCAGTGAGATTTTGAACGTTACGCGAAAATTTATCCAAGCGAAAAGTCGAAAAAGCCGGTACTGATTTCAGCTAAAAATTTCCCAGACGAGTGGCGGTGAAATGTCTGTAGGTGTATTTGATTTTCTTGCCTGAAGCCCGGGGACGTCGGAGAAAAGTACCTCGCATTTTATTATGCACGACGTATGAACACAAAACCATACAAAACACCTCGACGAGCTCCGTTTCATGTGTATTGGGTGCATCTCGACAAATCAAATTTTGGCACATTTTTTTTTTGTCGTCGAAAGCTTCTGAACGAGCCCACTGACGTTCCGATTACATTTTGTGAAACAATCAAGATATCCAAGTCGCCAGAGGTTGATAAGAGCTTATAAGCTTAATAAGACCTCGCCAGAGGTGATTAAAAACTCCATGGAGACGAACCACTCCACATGGATTCCAAAAACACATTAAAAATATAATGATGTATTCAGCGGATGATACAAACTTGTATCAAAATAACTATGATCTAATCCTGAATCGTCACTGATTCAACGAATTATAGTCTATGACAATCCGTCATTGCAGCTTATGCGTATTATAATGCCTGAGGGCGTTTATAATGCCTGAGGGCCTGAGGGCTGGTTAGGGCGTTTTGCATCCTCTGTAGCACGTCATATAACTTGCTGAGTCACGTACACAAAGCAAACATCACGCAAATACAATATCATTTGATAGAACGTCCCGAGCGCTCTGAGGAAATGATGCCACTGAGTTACTGCAAGTCATTGCTAACGCTTTCCTCTGCCTTTTCCCGTTGGTCGTTAGTTCTGCAATGCGTCGACAGTGTTAGTGCGTCACAAAGTCCCTGCCATTTCCCTCCCAGCGCTGTCGCTCCCACGGCTCTTTCCCCTCTCCTCCCACCGCTCTCTCCTCTCCTCATCCCTCCCATCGCTCTGCCGCTGTGGCCTCCTCACTAAACTCCTTCATCTGTAGATAAGCTATGAGCACATCGGGCAGCGGCAGGCGGGACAGCCGGCAGGGCAGTCGGCGTCCGGTCACCCCCACCAGGGCGCGCACCCGGGCCCGGCAGAGCTCCAGCAGCGGTGGGGGCGAGCGCGGCCCGCTGATCTGCCTGAGGAACTCCGCAGGGATCTCCTCCAGCGGCGGACAGCCCTCCGGCAGACGGGCGCCGCGCGCTAGGAGCGCCCGCGCCAGCCGCTGGTCGCCCCAGTGGAACGCCCACCAGAGCGCCGAGCGCCGCTCGCCGTCCCGCAGACTGACGGAGGCGCCGAGCAGGGTGACCAGCAGGGCCAGCCGCCGCCAGCCGGCGCACGGCTGCCGCGCAGAGAGGTACAGCGGGCACTGCTGCCACGAGTCGGCCGCCACCGGCGCGCCGGCCGCCACCAGCTGGAACGCCATGCTGAGCTGCCGGTGCCAGACGGCCGTCCACAGCGGCGTGTGGCCGTAGAAGTCCTCGCCGTCGAGCTCGGCGCCGGCGGTCAGTAGGGCCGCGAAGCTCGCCTCCTGGCCCAGACGGATGGCGGTAATGAGCGGCGGCTCGACCCGCTCCAGAGCGTCACTGCTGCGCCCGTTGGCGTCTGCGCCGGCGGAGAGTAGGGCGGCCACGATCTCCGCCCGGCCGGCCTGCAGCGCCCAGGAGAGTGGCGTGCGGTGTCGGTGGGCCAGCGACGGGTCGGCGCCGGCCGCCAGCAGAGCCTGCACGGCGCGCACGTCCTGACTGCAGATGGCCAATCGCAGGTCACAGGGACCCGGGCGAGGCGGGGCGGCCGGCGGCAGCGGCTGGGCCGCGGACATCGCGGCGGGAGGGGAGAGGGGTAGGGAGGAGGGAACTGGGGGGGGGGGGTGGGGTGGATGGGGCCGAGGGAGACAATCTTGAGCCCGTCGAAAGTTGTTTAGTCGCACTGCTTAAGGCCAGCACTTGCCGGTCGCAGTTAGAGTTGACATTGGCAGTTGGCACTGATGACGTCGAAATGCTTCTCTCCTCAGCCTTGTATACCACCGGCTATGCTGGATCTAAAACGAATGGAGATTGCCAGGAGATTTTACGCCGTTCGATTCGCGTCAGTACGGTGATGCGACAACACTGACTGACTAAATTCCCGAGATCCTCGATGAAGCCGAACCGTTTCGAACCGGTCTAAGTTTTTTTTTCTGTCTGATAATTTTATACCTTGTCGGTAGATCGGGGGATGAACGTTCCTTAGCCTGTGAGACGGGCTGGTGTCCTGGATGGAGGCTCTTGGATCGCTGCCGACGTCCCCCAACGGCTCCCCCAGCTGAAACGGAGTGCAAAACGACCATAAGGACTCACGTTTCACTAGAAATCGACATTCACGAAATGCAAATCAGGCCTCATCACACCTCTGTTATTGTTTACCTTTTGCTATATTTACGCCTTTCGAAAGAGAGGGCCTCAATGCTGGAGCCAATGCGACGTTACCTTGGAGCTCCGCCAAATCAGTTCCCTAGCGCCTTCGTGTTATGCAATGCTTCAGACCATGGCAGAGAGTGGTAGAATTCAAAGCGATATTTAAGTTGACTTCACCGCAGTGCAAATTGATATGATCATAATTTATCACTTCTAGCATGTACTGCTTCTTGACACAAAAACAAACATGAAACAACGCGGCCAACCCCGGGAGGTCAGCGGCCTTACCCGCTCATAATTACCTGCCAAACGATCAGCTGCTTTTGAGGTCTGCGTTCCCTTCAAGCCACCACTCGTTTTAGCTACATCTCTTCAACTTCCTGACACCTGGTCTCTTCAGATTGCGACACTCGCCTCACGACAGCGCTCACGGAAATCCTCACGCCTGGGGCATCTTCCCTCCGCGGGTCTGCCGCCCCCACTGCCACCGCTTGGTACACGTGACCGGCCGGGGGGCCCGACAGGCGGCCTGCCGACGGCCGAGGGGAGGACGGCTGCATCTGCGACCCTCCTATAAATAGGCGCCGTCGGTCGCTTCTCGGTCCCGAGTTGCTGCGTCGGTCCCGACGCGAATAGATCCCGACGGGGCGGGTAAATGTCGCTGCCCGACGGGGCGAGTCGCATCGAATCATCGACTGGGCGGCGACGTCTCGCCGCTGTCGGAATGGGTAATGGTGTGTGCTCTGGCTAGAAGCATCACACGTAGGCTTGGCAAGATCACAAGCGATCTCCTAACGCGTTGACTGCTTCACATTTCGTGTACGAAGGCAAGATGAAACACCGCGACCGCACCTCGGCCGTTTTCGATATTTTCCAAAGCACGTTTCTATGGGACCGCAGGATGCTTCACATGTTTGCGCTGTTCTGACGCTTCACACTACGACAAACTCGCCTTCCATGTCAGAAAACAAAATCTTCGCCCCTATTTCATTTTATTTCCTCAGTACCGTTGGTTCGAAAGGGTAGAATACGTTACACTTCTAGTGCGTCGCATCATACACCAGTGGCAGTCAACCGAAACGTCCACCAACCACGAGATAAACTCCACAGGACTGCACTGCAGATCCCTCTGTACCGCACAGCGCACAACTCAGGAATCAACAACGACCACCAAATTCGAGCGAACTCACTCGCTTTCTCACTCGCTCGAAATCAAAACGAAAACACAGGACGCGCCTTCCTCACTCGCCTACATCAAGGCCCACAAATACACAGTATCAGTTGGCGGCTTTTGAACTCTTCTGAGGTCTTTAGCCATCATTCCACGCAAGATTCACTGCTTAGCGGTGCGGAAATAAGCACACATCAACATCATATACACTGCAGCGATTTCACATATTACAGCATGCGACACCAACTGGAGCCATTTACCAAAGAAGTCGGTGACGCGTCTCAGCAACGCCCCCCCCCCCACGCCAAAAAATATTCCCCAGCTCTTTCACGCCATTAACGAGACACGACACCCGTCGACATCCACCTGACCAGCGTCCCTGTTTGTCTCTGTGGGTCACCGGGCGGCATGTTCATACGCTGATGGTTCTGAACACGTTGAAGCCGCTGTGGGCGGTGGAGAGGAGACATCCGGTCGCCTGCGGGTGCCAGTGCAGTTCCTTGACGTCCTCCTGACCCTGGTGGATGAACAGCAGCTGTGGCGGCAGCTCCTGATGACACAGGGGGGACGGAGACTATGAAGAGAAGCGGCAACTGACACAGGTAGAACGCACGTTCTTCATATTCAAGACGCAATTCAAACCAAATGGGCAAGGGAAACTAACGACCGTCCTTTTTTACGATATATCCTGAAGCAAAACCATACACATTCCATCCATATGCACACAGGAAAGTAACGACCGTCCTAGTTTTCCCAAACAACCGCCGAATAGTCTCACTGATAGCCCCTCACATTTTACCAACCACACTTTACCACACAAAACTGTATATCCTGTACAGATAAAAACATCCCAACCTCCGTTCCCTTTCTTACTGCTACTCTTAATCTCTTATTATTCCTCCCCATCTCCTCCCTCCCTGTCTGTCTCTCAAACACTCACGCTCAGTTTGGCGCCGTCTGCCACCCTATTCCTCCCCTAACTCACGTTCAGTTTTTGGTCCTCCTCTGCCCCCTCTGCGGCCCCCTCTGCGGCCGCCTCATCGTCCCGCTCCACGGCCAGGTCCCACTGGACCACCTGGTCGTCCGCGCCGCCGGACGCAAACACCGTGCTGTCCGATGGGTGCCACTCCACTGTGGTCACTGGAGCCGAGTGGTGCTTGAACAGCGCCACGGGCTTACCCGACTGCGGGGGAGGAGACAATGGTCAAGGAGTGTTTAAATAGCGTCACCGGCCCACCGTACTGAGGAGAGCAGTTTTGGTTAGAGGGAGAGACATTGGTCAGATACGTAGAGAGGCATAGGTCAGGGAGGGTTTGAACAGCGCCACCGGCTTACTCGACCACAGGAAGGGAAGAGTCAAACAGTGGTCGGGTTTTAGAGTTTAGTAGATTAAACAGGCATCTGGTATTCAACTATTCAACCAAAAGTCACGTGTTTTGTTCTTTATTGCTACCAAGTCATTGTATTTAGTACGGGTTATTGACACGCATTCTTCAACGTTTAGTGCACTTCCTAGGTTCTCGATTCAAATCACGCCAACGTTGTTATCTCGAGCGAACCTGGGCCCAATCTTACCAAATGCCGTGAATGCGCATTCACGGCATTTGGTAACATTCAGAACTATTCCACAATTACTTATTCCTTCGTTCAGGCAACATTAATAATCATTAACACTACCAAAATCACTGGGCAAGATTAGCTGGATGTAAATAAAAAGGATATCTTTGATATCAGTGCCGTTAACTCCGGCCAGTGCTGCCAAATCCTTTTCACGGCATTGGTAAGATTGGGCCCTGGAAAAGTAATTATATCACGCGTCACCCACCTGCAGCGACCGGAGGTCCCAGACACAGAGTTTGCCGTCGTCGCCGCCGCTGACGATGAACGGGTCGGTCCGGTTCCAACTGATCACGTTCACGTCGCTGTCGTGCGCGTCCGTCACCTGCAGCATGCACGCCTTGGCCGGCGCCGCGCGGCTGTCCCAGATACGAATACTGCGGACAGGGGTGGGTCAAATCGACGCGGCTCAGGTCAAGAAAAGATGTAAAATCAGTAAAAAGAGCAGGAAAGTAACAATATCAATGCAGCTGCTGAGACAAGAGGTGTAATGTTAGCACTGCTATAACCTTATCCCCGCAATGCTATAGCCCCTAGACTCTAAGTCCTCAGTTCTACTTCAATGTCAGTATTCTCTGATCTGCGTATAATACTCCCACCTTCTACACACCTCAGCTTATCAACTGTTTTTCGACTATTTCCACCTCTTCTCCAACCCGTCTCTCCTCCCGTCTGCACGGACCTTTTATCGACGGAGCACGACGCGAAGACGGTGGGCTCGGAGGGCGACCACTGGATGTCCTCCACGGAGCCCTTGTGCGCCGAGTAGGGTCGCTGGTCCACGTGCCACGTGCCGCCCTCGGCCGGCTGCCACACGTGGATGTGGCGGCCGCAGTCGCCCGTGGCCAGCACGCCTGACGAGCCGCAACGGGGCGTTCAGAGGAGGGGGAGTGGGGTGGGGGGGGGGGTGGGGGGGGGGGGGAGCGGTGACATAAGGGTCGGACGGATGTATACCACATACTGGGTGAACAGCGAACAATGACGAACATATTGGTAGCATTATGTCGCCCGACAAAAACAAGTACATGCATTCAGCTGAAAAATAACATTTTGTTTCCATGTCTTGAACGGTGGAAAATCATCAACGGAAAAACAGACATCTGTAAAATTCCAGGGCTTGACTGTGAAAAACTTCTTACAGGTTGGGTGAAACCCTCCTAATTAAGATTGCGATGAAAACACTGCTATAGGAGGCCGGGAGGTAGTAGGGGAAAGTGAGGTGCTCTAACATCACTGGCTAGACGCCGGCCTCCAGCTCCACTCACCGGCTTTGAGTGGCGACCAGTCCATGGCGAAGCCCTCCTGCTCGTGTCCCTTGAAGGTGAACAGCGGCTTGGCCTTCTTGTCCTCGCTGTCCCGGGCGTAGGCCGAGGCCACCATGGGGTCGTCGACGGCGGCCAGGGGGCGCGCCAGACTCCAGACGTGCACGCTGCCCGTCTCTGACCAGGTGGCAGCCAGCGGAGTGTCCTGGATGGTGGTGGCCTGAGAGGGGATGGGGGGGGGGAGAGTTATCTTGGGAAGGAAGGAAACGATGCGTATATAAATTTAGACACATGTACGACGCTTAACTAGCTACGAACTGCGAGCGGCGAAGCTTCCAATGGAGAAGGCTCCAACTAGGCAAAAACGCATTGAACTACTATGCATTTCAGACCCCATGAGACCCCGTTTTTCGGCGATAATTTCTTCAATTTTTGTCCAATTAGCTTGAAATTTTGGCAGACGATGTTTCAGCTCAAGCGCCAATTTTTGTCAATTTGGTCTCTTAACAAAATATCAAAATTTAGAGCACTTGTCGTTGGCTCGTAATGTTAATCAGTTTTTGCACCCGGATAGAGGCTCGCTCGCTACCGCACCAGATTGGATAGGAGCGCTGGCCAATCACGTTACGCCGAGCTCAGCTTGACTCCGCCCACTGGCCGTGACCGTGATGGGTCTATGCCGCTTCAGTCGGTGTCAGCACCGCGGAGAGGTCGCAGCGGGACCACGTACTGGAGACAAGTGAAGCTGGCAAAGTTGTTTCGGGACGAAAGCCAAAAGATTATCCGTTCGAGGGCATTTGATGTCCTCTTTTCCTTATTTTGGTATTTAAACGTCGAACCAGCTCAGAATATTCAGAATGATCAGAATCAAGGTAGGATCTATTGGAACGGAACCGGCCGTAGAAGGAAAGATGGATGATGATGAACTCTTGGACTCTGAACATTTATTTAAGCCGGAGTTGCACCTATCTCATCGTCAGGTTGGGTCAGGTCACTACGCGATTACCTATAAGATCATGCGTAAGCCTCTGCATGACCCAAAAATATTGATATATTGGGCAGTGTCAATAAATGTTTCTGAGGAAGGCGCAGAAAGCAACAAAGTAGGATGAAGAGTCTCGGGCACGGCCGATTGCCTGGGGCATCGCTCCAGCGAGACGACCGTATTCGTAATTCGTGAAGCGGTGCGGGGCGCCGGGTGGGGCAGAAGCGTAATGTGTCATATGGTAGAATGTCATGTGTGAGTAATATTGTTAACCCGGCAGTTGCTAGGGTATTTCGCCAACCACCGTTTGCTGGGGGGGGGGGGCGTTAAACGCCCCCAGCCGATAACTCGAGAACCAATAAGCGCAGCGAAACGCACGAGGCGGCAAACGAAAGAACGCGACGAGACGCATCAGATGAGTACTTCAAAGTTGAATTTTGAGGTCACAGGTCGGGTCAAGGTCAGTTCAAACACCTGACATCGGGCTTTCAGTAGCATGGACTTCAGGACTTCGCAATGGGCGCCTCTCGTCATAAACTCTGTCAAAACGGTGCACAATCCATCATATGAGGTCTACAAGAGTGTCAGCTCCATGTAGGGGTCAGTCAAGCATAGGTCAGGGTCAAGGTCAGGTCAACCGGGTAGGCACATATCCCCGAAAATCAAAACTGATATTCACAACCTGTGACACATGTTTTATGGGCAATTTGGGGCGTAGAACACGATGGTGACATTCATTTTTTCATATGTGTACGTGTTGGCTCAAAAAATTTCATTTAAGAAATGCCTGTATCATGGTCGTGAAGTAGTCACGAGAAATTGCCAAGATTCAGTTCAAGATTTTGAAAAATGCGGAACGATAATCAATAATCGAAGATAACCATTTGATTGCTCAAGGTATTGGCAGTCTAATGGCGTTTACGGCATGTCTGTATGTCTATTTTGTGATTTTATATGATTTTTTGAACATGTGCCATTTTTGGTCGAAAACTCAGAAATCATGACATCACTAAAACCTCGATATCTAAAAAAAAAATTCCGACCGATTTTTTTGAAACTTTGTCACAATAAACTTCAATCAATTTCCTACAGGTTCCCAAAATTTGGCGCGCCTGCGGCGCGCGGTTTTTGTGCTATGGCCCGGCAAAAAAATGGGGGCGTTTAACGCCCCCCCCCCCAGCAACTCGCGGGTTAAGACGTGCACAGAAATAAATAGAATTGTGGCAGGCGGACGTTGTGCACTACATGAGAACGATCATCAAGAAACACGTATCTTTTTGTAAAACTTATGTAACAGTAGGTATGTCCTCAATGGTGAGGTAACTATCTCTAGGCTTTTACTTTTCATGTTTGCATTTCAACACACAAGATCTGGGGGTCAAGTTAGTCCGGCGACCTCCTCAACCTAAGTCGATGATAAAATGAATTAGTCCTGAAGGTGTTCATTGTTCAATGCTTATGCTGCACCGGGATGATATAAATCGATCACGCCGGCATACATTCCTAATCAAATTTCATATATCAAACACATAACTGCATCCTGTTAATGGTGATTATATTTTGCAATTAGGACGTCCGACGTAGTCTGACGCGATACGTAATTTTATGCAAGCATTTGAAATCAACAGCGTCTTTTATTAGCGTTTTTTTTCACAAGCCCGAATCTTGTGTGGAAATAGATATTTTTTTTGTGGCTGAACAAGGTGTACGTACATTTGTGATAAATACAAAGTCGAGGGCTTCAGCTAGTGCGTTACTTATGCGCGCTATTTAGCTCCTTCGATGAAGTTGCGGCTGCAACGACAACTGCACGGCAGCCACGTTCCATGCGAGCCGCCCCGGTGCGACAGCTACTGCCCCGCCCGCTGCACGCAGCCGACTGACCGGCCAAGGTCACCGCCCCGTCCGCCGGGAGGGCGGAGCTTAATGGTCACGTGTTTGTGACGTCACGCCTACGTACGGATAGCCTCTACTCCACTGCCGGATTTACGGAGCCGATTTTAACATTACGAGGCAACGACAAGTGCTCTAAATTTTTATATTTTGTTAAAAGACCATATTGACAAAAATTGGCGCTTGAGCTGAAACATCATCTGCCAAAATTTCAAGCTAATTGGACAAAGATTGAAGAAATTATCGCCGAAAAACAGGGTCTCATAGGGTCTGAAATGCATAGTAGAGACCTTTCATTTTTCAACACATACTTTTGTCTGCGTTGTCTGCGATTTTGCGAACCTGTATTAGCGTGACGCGTAAACTGAAATTGCAAATACTCCTGCAGATAATAATTAAACATATGCCACCTGTACATTTCACCGGAGAGATACATTCGAATGAATGCCGTCATGAAAAAAAAGCCACCGTCGATAATCGTGGTAATAATTTGTCGAAAAACACACGGTTCATGAGTGCTCTGCCGACATGAGAGCGCCGCCTGCACCTCACCCGCAGCACCCACAGTGTGCGCCTCTCACCCGTATCCGGTTGACGCAGCCGTGGTGTTTCATGGTGGCCGTCTCCAGATCCGGCAGATCCTCCTCCTCATCGTCGCTCTCATCACTCTCCTCGTCATCCGAGTCCTTCTCCTTGGACTTCTTGTTGCGCTGGATGTTGGACATCTGCCGGACGGAAGCAAGGTTAAAGTGCGGGAATCGACCGATAGGTGGCAGTGGTGAGGGACAGAGTTCAGTGAGAGGTGGTCCTCATGGTCAGTGAGAATTGGATATCGAGCATCATGTAAAGCAACAAAAACACTTATGTTAGTTCATTGAAATTCAGTTTTTTTTTAACCAACATTCAATGAAACAGGAAGTAGTGAATAATTTAACAATTTATCACCGAAGTTCGTATCTCACCTAGAACCAAACCGCCGTCTGGTCGCTCAACTGACCTTCATGACGATGACGGAGTTTTTGTGCGCCTTGTCGGCCTGCGTGCCGGCCACCATGTACATGGTCAGCGGGTACTCTGTGCGGTTATCACCCAGACGGTCGCGGACCACGTCAAAACTCAGACACGGGTCCCCTGGCGGCCAGAGCGGGGCGGGGGGGGGGGGGAGAAGTCAGGTGGGGAGCTTCACAGTGAGACGGAACATGGACGATGAGACAATCAGAACAAAGGTTGGCATCATGAATGCTCTCAGAGTTGGATATCGTAGTTCATCACACAATACATAACGAAAGTAACTTCAAAAAAGGACGACACATTTTCAGAATTCGCTTCACAAAAAAAAATACATGCTGTCGACGCGTTGGCAGGTTGGCTTCTTTTATTGTACCTAACCGGACAAATTAGGCCTGTGAAAGCTGAACACAGTTGACAAAAATGTTGAGCAATGAAAATAACAACTCGAGTCCTCCCTCCTACAATAAAATTTGTGCGAAATCGAAATTCAAAACTCCTGTCACCGCCAGGAATCGATCCCGCGCCCTCACCGGTGTGCGCCTGGTGGAACATGACGTAGGCCGACTCGTCGACCACGAGCTCCTCGTCCTCCTCGAGCTGCCGACCGGGGAGGAACACCTCCGAGGGCCCGGCGGGCGTGTCCTCCTCCTCTCCGTCCTCCTCAGCGTCCTCCATGGGCGCGTCCTCCTGCTCCGGTGCCGGAGGCCCCGGCTCTCCGTCCTCGTCCATAGCGTGTCGACCTGGGATACCTAGACGGGGATGGAGAAGGGGTTCGATCACTCACTGCATATTAATCAGGGAGGGAGGCAGGGGAAGACGGAAGGCAAAGGAGAAGAGACAAAATACAAATGTGAAAGATGAGGGGAAGAAACAACTTCTATTTACATAGGGTGAAATGGATAAGTGGTTAGGTGTTGGAGTTGTTAGATTTCGGACGACCTCGAAATTGCACGAGACATAGGACCGGGTTGGGGAGAGATCATCTAACACGTCCCACGCCTCCACTACCAAACAACTCACCAATGGCGTCTAGCTGCGCGTCCTCTGCTGCTATCCACCCGCAGACAGCGGCTCGAAGGTCGCCTGCCAAGGAAAAAAAAAAGAGCACAAAATTGCAGTCACCGCCATCGAGCGCAGACAAATAGCAACAAGGAGAAGCTAGATCAGTAGGTGTGTTAGCGTCATGACTTCTCCGAGTTGGATATCGATAATCATCAGTTCATTGTTACGCTCCCAGTCCCAAGTTAGCATATCCCTTTCACAGCAAAATATCGCCGGGACAGGAGACTGACAAAATCGCATCAAGCAAATGCTCGAGCGAGAATAAGTCATTCACGGCAACCTTAATGGACTAGTAGAGAAAACAAACTAAAATTGACCATAGGCAAGCGAGGAGCTTATAAAAGGTACTTGCCGTAGCTTTGTAGGGGGCGAAGATACAGTCAAAGCTGTATATACTATCTGGAACAAAAGAAAACGGACGAAATCAACAATGGTGCAACAGGATTAAAATATGATCCAATCAGACATAAGTGGATCAGCATAAGTGGTGGCATCATGCCTGCTCAGAGTTGGATATCTTAGTTCATCACGGAAATTAATTATCAGCTTGAATGACTTCCCATGATAGGAAATATAACAGCAGGATAAAACGAACAGCGGTACAAAATGCTTACCAAAGGCGTCGAAATTGATATTCGACAACGTGAAAAAGCCCAACAGCGATCCTGGAAACAGAACAAAACGGCTGTAAGTCGATAAATCTTGAAAACAAAACAATTTTCAGCGACATCAAGATCAGATCATGAGCGGTCGTCACAACTTTCCGAGTTGGATATCGATATTCATCATGTGATCAATCGCTGACCGGCGCGTTGAATGGAGGAATGGCATTTACAGAAACAAATGCTAACCAAGATCTAGTGAATGAGAGGCATGTAACCATGTAGGATGTATGTAATTGTAGGGTTTCTATGGTCGTAAAAAACGTGGCCAGCAAGGCATATGGGTGCTGAGGGTGAGTGAAGACAGTCGAAATTAGTCTGATAAACCTAGTCAAACTGTCGTTGCCAGTCAAACATAACAGCAAAACATGAATGCAAAAATGACTTGCCTTAGCCTCACGTCGGTCCAGAGAAACCCAAATCAGCACTGGACCTGAAATAATAGACAAAAGTGAGGCACCACGAACTTGTAAATAAATCGGCCGGGGTAAGACGCTGGCTCAGAAAAATGAATGGCATCATGAATGCTCTGAGTTGGATATCGTAGTTCATCACAGAAAGCAGAGTCAATCAGTAAATACTAAGGTGGCTGGGAAGAGCAACACTGAATTACTAAATCTAGTGTTTAGTGGGCAACACATTTTTTATTTACATGGGCAGGAATCCGGATGAAGCCCACAAGCTGTCAGCGGGCAGTACCATACAAGTTATGTCACAAAATTCCATGAACATCGAACAATACAATTCTAACAAATAGTGTTTGTCTATTTCAAACAACCTGTGGTTATTTGGTTGCCAATGTGCACCCAAGTGTTGCAGTCTGATGCTGATACAGTGTATCTTTTTCTTTGTCAGCATATGGCATAGTCAACCTGAAAATTGAAATATCCATCATAAAGTATCAAAGTAATGGTGTGAAGTGCTTTAGGGATGAACATAGCCAGAATAAGCATGTGAAGAATCATTGACCTTTTCCTCAAAGAAGTAAAAACAATGCCAAAAGTTACATTTATATTTGAATAAAACTTTTAAAACTTTTTACATTTAAATATCGCTTCTGGCATTGTTTTTACTTCTTCGAGGAAAAGGTCAATGATTCTTCACATACTTATAAAGTATCAAACATAAAACGAAGATGGGTGTTGGGACACAATTAGGAACCCAGAGAACTCCCATATCAATTGGTATTTGGCAGCAAACCTGCCTTTGAATTGGGCTGCAGCAGGTCCGAGACAAGACAGAAGAACCTGAAACATAATTTAAGTATAGGAGGGTTACCATCAAAGAACGATTAAACAAAAACAAATCATACAGTAACTGGTCAGAGAAATGAATAGCATCATGAATGCTAAGAGTTGGATATCATAATTCATCATCTAAATTGGCCGGGGAAATGTTTGAAATACGAAGATAACGGCCCACCTCAACCTAACCTTCTGGAGCACGTAACACACCGAAATAAATCCGAATAACATACCAACGGTATTGAAAGTTTGACACAACAACTAATGTGGGTTATCTGCAAGAGAAATCAATTTCCAAAGAACAATATAATTAAAAAAACTGAGGAAACATTAGAGAAAACGCTTACCTTTCACCAACACGCCAGCCGCTCGCCACGTGGTTCGGAAAGGAAAAGGATGAGGTCGGCCTTGGGATGAGGGATATGGAAGTCCTTGCGTTCCGTGGGGTTGACAGCACGCCATTCGCGTTGCTTTCGCCGCGCTTGCGCAAGCAGATCGACTCACTAAAGAACCAATCGGCGCCCTTCTTCCAACTTCTCCGCCAATTACAGCTTAGCTATTCATTCGATGAGTACAAGATGACTGATCTTCGACTGATTTTGAATAGGACAATTTTATCAGCACGGCGAAATGTTCATCTATTTGGCAACATATTCGGATTCAGATTCATATTCGAAATAAATGGTCTGCGGACTACTCAGAATGACTCAAAAATGATTTTGACTATACAATTTGACCTTCCCAATTCAATGAGGGTAAAATCTAAGCGCGGCACGGTCAATTTGCAGAGTGACCTCAGGTCAAAGTTACATAGGTCATGTACTGCGGACTATTTAGATTGCTTCAAAAATCATTTGGACCTTTTGAATTTTAATTAATAGCATAAATTATATTAAATTTAAGCACGGCACGCCCCAAGAGCAGTTTTTCGTTGACTTGAAATACAAGGTCGTTAGCATTTTTCAGTTTAGGGACTATCTCAAATTTCGTGAGAATAATTTTGGTTTTACAATTTCGCTTTTAATAGTCAACAAAATTATATCTAAGCGCGGCACGACTCAAATATAGATATATGTATAAAAATAATTACAAGTTTTAATTCAAACATGGCCGCCAGGCATCTTGACTGACGCGTTTGATTCGATCTCGGCGCGTAAACAAAAGGCCATTAGGCAAACATATAGTGTGTTATAGTGTATTAAATTGTGTTTTTAAGTGTTTTTATATACTTTGGTGAGGTCTGTGTATTAGATTGCATGCTCTGTTGATACGCTAGGATAGTCCTTTGCATATTTTTTGCAAAGAAACATATTAAGCCTTGCTTAGTCAATCCTAAAGCCCTCATAACACCCTCTTCAAAAAATCTACTTTATCATGTAAGTACATACCTACCTGTGCAATGCAATATGAAGTCCTAATTTATCCCAATATAATGCCTACTGAGACCTAACACCTACCTCTGCTTTTTGGTATCTGCTGCAGTTTAAATGGAGATGAACTTAGTCAAAGCTAACTGGCCAATGTCAATTAGAATCGGGGGCAGCTCGGACATATGCAGCATAGATGTAGAGCTGCTCTGTCTGCGTCATTCCCAGGTGATGTCAGCCGCCCACTCTGCTGGTATGCAGAGCCTAAGGCTGCTGAAGCATTTGAGCAATCTTGTTCCATATGCCCGCTGCTTAAAATGAGCCGCAACAGCTGATCCGATCCGTCTGAGTGTGCTCAACATTCTTCCCTCCCGTTATGTGTCCACTGTTCAGTGAGGAACTAGTGCATCGATCCCCAGCCGTAGCAGGTGGTGCTGGAGACTCAGCTGGAGCTGCTGGTGTTTCTGTAACTCCCCCTTCCCCAGTGAGAAGCTGGTGCTGCTGATGTCTATAACTCCCCCTCCACCTCCCTATTCAGGAGCTGGTGCTGCTGATGTCTGCCTCTGTCTGCGACTGTCGGCCTCTGTCAGCCTCTGTTGACCCCTGTTGACCCCTGTTGACCATGTCCACCTCTGTCATCCCTTGTCGACCCCTCTGTCAACATCTTCTGTCGACCTTTGTTGACCCTGCCCTGCCCTGCCCTGCCCTGCCCTGCCCTGCCCTGCCCTGCCCTGGCTCATGTCAGCTCCTGTCAGCTCCTTGTTGACCTCTGTCGACCTCTGTAGACCCTGCAACCAATGCCCTGCCCTGCCCTGGCTCCTGCCCTGCCCTGGCTCCTGTCAGCTCCTTGTTGACCTCTGTCAACCTCTGTCGACCTCTTCGCGGCACGTCTGCACCTCGCTGCAGCCTAATCTGGACCTGTCCGCCTGCCAGGTCTGTCAGGCACCTGACTGAGGTCTTTCAGACCTGACTGAGGTCTCTCAGACCTGACTGAGGTCTGTCAGACCTGACCAAGGTCTGCTCCACCTCTCAGACGTTTGCGGGACTTGACAGAGGTATGTGGGACCTGACAGAGGTATGTAAGACCTGTGAGAGGTCTGTAGGAGCTGACAGAGATATGTGGAACCTGACAGAAGTCTGACAACCCTGGCGGAGGTCTATCAGAGACCTGATTGAGGTATTTCAGACCTGTCTGAGGTCTCAGACCTGATTGAGGTCTCTCCGACCTGACCGAGGTCTGTCAGACCTGACAAAGGTATGTGGGACCTGACAGGAGTATGTGGGACCTGACAGAGGTATGTGAGACCTGAGAGAGGTCTGTCAGACCTGACAGAGGTATGTGGGACCTGACAGGAGTATGTGGGACCTGACAGAGGTATGTAAGACCTGACAGAGGTCTGTAGGAGCTGACAGAGATAAATGGAACCTGACAGACGTCTGACAACCCTGGCCGAGGTCTGTCAAAGACCTGACTGAAGTCTCTCATACCTGACCGAGGTCTCTCCGACCTGACCGAGGTCTGTCAGACGTGACAGAGGTATGTGAGACCTGACAGAGGTCTGTAGGAGCTGACAGAGATATGTGGAACCTGACAGACGTCTGGCAACCCTCCTGTGTGGACCCTCCCTGTCTGTAGTAGCTGACAGAGATATATGGAACCTGACAGACGCCTGACAAACCTGGCCGAGGTCTGTCCGAGACCTGACTGAGGTCTCTCAGACCTGACTGAGGTCTGTCAGACCTGACAGAGGTATGTAAGACGTATCTGAGGTCTGTAGGAGCTGACATGGAACCTGACAGACATCTGACAACCCTGGCCGTAATCTGTCAGAGACCTGACTGAGATCTTTCAGATCTGACCGAGGTTTCTCAGACCTGACCGAGGTCTCTCCGACCTGACCGAGGTCTCTCCGACCTGACAGAGGTATGTGAGACCTGACAGAGGTCTGTAGGAGCTGACAGAGATATATGGAACCTGACAGACGTCTGACAACCCTGGCCGAGGACTGTCAAAGACCTGACTGAAGTCTCTCAGACCTGACTGAGGTCTCTCCGACCTGACCGAGGACTGTCAGACCTGACCGAGGTCTGTCAGACCTGACAGAGGTATGTGCGACCTGAGAGAGGTCTCTCAGACCTGACTGAGGTCTGTTAGACCTGACAGAGGTATGTAAGACGTATCTGAGGTCTGTAGGAGCTGACAGAGATATATGGAACCTGACAGACATCTGACAACCCTGGCCGTAGTCTGTCAGAGACCTGACTGAGATCTTTCAGATCTGACCGTGGTTTCTCAGACCTGACCGAGGTCTCTCCGACCTGACCGAGGTCTCTCCGACCTGACCGAGGTCTCTCCGACCTGACAGAGGTATGTGAGACCTGACAGAGGTCTGTAGGAGCTGACAGAGATATATGGAACCTGACAGACGTCTGACAACCCTGGCCGAGGTCTGTCAGAGTTTGATTGAGGTCTCTCAGACCTGACTGAGGTCTGTCAGACCTGACAGAGGTAATAAGACCTATCTGAGGTCTGTAGGAGCTGACAGAGATATATGGAACCTGACAGACAGACATCTGACAACCCTGGCCGTAGTCTGTCAGAGACCTGACTGAAGTCTCTCAGACCTGACCGAGGTCTGTCAGACCTGACAGAGGTCTCTCCGACCTGACCGAGGTCTGTCAGACCTGACAGAGGTGTGTGAGACCTGACTGAGGTCTGTCAGACCTGACAGAGGTATGTAAGACGTATCTGAGGTCTGTAGGAGCTGACAGAGATATATGGAACCTGACAGACATCTGACAACCCTGGCCGAGATCTGTCAGAGACCTGACTGAGATCTTTCAGATCTGACCGTGGTTTCTCAGACCTGACCGAGGTCTTTCAGACCTGACCGAGGTCTGTCCGACCTGACCGAGGTCTGTCAGACCTGACAGAGGTATGTGAGACCTGACAGAGGTCTGCAGGAGCTGACAGAGATATATGGAACCTGACAGACGTCTGACAACCCTGGCCGAGGTCTGTCAGAGACTTGACTGAGGTCTCTCAGACCTGACTGAGGTCTCTCAGACCTGACTGAGGTCTGTCAGACCTGACAGAGGTAATAAGACCTATCTGAGGTCTGTAGGAGCTGACAGAGATATATGAAACCTGACAGACATCTGTCAACCCTGACCGTAGTCTGTCAGAGACCTGACTGAGATCTCTCAGACCAGACCGAGGTCTCTCAGACCTGACCGAGGTCTCTCAGACCTGACCGAGGTCTCTCAGACCTGACCGAGGTCTCTCAGACCTGACCGAGGTCTCTCAGACCTGACCGAGGTCTGTCAGACCTGACAGAGGTGTGTGAGACCTGACAGAGGTCTGTAGGAGCTGACAGAGATATATGGAACTTGACAGACGTCTGACAACCCTGGCCGAGATCTGTCAGAGACCTGATTGATGTCTGTCAGACCTGACAGACGTCTGTGGGACCTGACAAAGGTATGTGGGACATGACAGAGGTATGTGGGACCTGACAGAGATATGTGGGACCTGACAGAGGTACGTGCGACCTAACATAGGTCTGTCACACCTGACAGAGGTATGTGGGACCTGACTGAGGTATTTAAGACCTGTCAGAGGTCTGTAGGATCTGACAGAGATATGCGGAACCTGACAGACCTCTGACAACCCTGGCCGAGGTCTGTCAGAGACCTGATTGAGGTCTCTTAGACCTGACTGAGGTCTGTCAGACCTGACAGAGGTATGTCAGACCTGACAGAGGTATGTAAGATCTGTCTGAGGTCTGTAGGAGCTGACAGAGATATATGGAACCTGACAGACATCTGACAACCCTGACCGTAGTCTGTCAGAGACCTGACTGAGATCTTTCAGATCTGACCGTGGTCTCTTAGACCTGACCGAGGTCTCTCCGACATGACTGAGGTCTGTCAGACCTGACAGAGGTATGTGAGACCTGACAGAGGTCTGTCAGACCTGACAGAGGTATGTAAGACCTGTCAGAGATCTGTAGGAGCTGACAGAGATAAATGGAACCTGACAGACGTCTGACAACCCTGGCCGAGGTCTGTCAAAGACCTGAATGAAGTCTCTCAGACCAGACCGAGGTCTGTCAGATGTGACAGAGGTATGTGAGACCTGACAGAGGTCTGTAGGAGCTGACAGAGATATGTGGAACATGACAGACGCCTGACAAACCTGGCCGAGGTCTGTCAGAGACCTGACTGAGGTCTCTCAGACCTGACTGAGGTCTGTCAGACCTGACTGAGGTCTGTCAGACCTGACAGAGGTATGTAAGATCTGTCTGAGGTCTGTAGGAGCTGACAGAGATATATGGAACCTGACAGACATCTGACAACCCTGGCTGTAGTCTGTCAGAGACCTGACTGAGACCTTTCAGATCTGACCGAGGTCTCTTAGACCTGACTGAGGTCTGTCAGACCTGACAGAGGTATGTGAGACCTGACAGAGGTTTGTAGGAGCTGACAGAGATATATGGAACCTGACAGACGTCTGACAACCCTGGCCGAGATCTGTCAGAGACCTGATTGAGGTCTGTCAGACCTGACAGACATCTGTGGGACCTGACAAAGGTATTTGGGACATGACAGAGGTATGTGGGACCTGACAGAGGTACGTGCGACCTAACATAGGTCTGTCACACCTGACAGAGGTATGTGGGACCTTACTGTGGTATGTAAGACCTGTCAGAGGCCTGTAGGAGCTGACAGAGATATGCGGAACCTCACAGACCTCTGACAACCCTGGCCGAGGTCTGTCAGAGACCTGATTGAGGTCTCTTAGACCTGACAGAGGTCTGTCAGACCTGACAGAGGTATGTGAGACCTGACAGTGGTCTTTAGGAGCTGACAGAGACATGTGGAACCTGACAAATTTCTTACAACCCTCCTATGTGGACCCTCCCTGTCTGTAGGAGCTGACAGAGATATATGGAACCTGACAGACGTCTGACAACCATGGCCGAGGTCTGTCAAAGACCTGACTGAAG